ACTCCTTTACCTTCTTCCTCAAGGCCTCCCTCTGAGCTGCCGAATCCAACTCCAACACCATAGGTGCCGAGCCTCTGGCTTGCAGGTCTACCCGATCTTTTTGCACATGCAGATGGTAGTGCTGCTGCACTTCCTCCGTCCGAGGCTTGAAGAACCTCGCTCGAACCTTGAGCGACGCCGAGAGACCAGAAAAGAGTTCTACCTCCCGAGGCGCTAGTTGCACCGCGTCAAGGTCGACATTCTCCGCCATGAATTTCGCCATTTGATCCTTGCGGAAGTGGCTGCGCATGAAGTCGGGGAACAACACGGTCAAAAAGTCGGAGAATTGCCAGCAGACGACCTGCGGCACCTGGCCGGCGAGCTTTTTACAGCTCTTGCACGGCCTTTGCGAGTCGCACTTGACTTTGCGGCTGTGGCAGCAAAAGCAGGCACCCAGACGGCGGACTTGCAATGCGCTCTCCTTTGTCGCATTTGCCAGAGGCCCCTTGCGGCCGCGCGTTTGGATTTTCATGGCTTCGAAGCACTCCCACGGGTTGGGGCGGCCCGAGGAGGCGTTGATGGAGTTGGGCGTGACGATGACGAATTTGTTTGCGGGTTCGGTAGCCTTCTTCTTCTCGACCTTGCCGGTGATGACCTTGCGGATCTGGCTGGCTGATGCTGCCCTGTCTCCCTCATGCTTGAGGTCTGGGGAGCTGGAGTTGGACTGAGAGGGGCTTGTGGATGTAGAGCTCTGCGTCGAGGTTGCGGAAAACTCCTCCATCAAGAACGTTGAGCTGCCATTGTCGACCTTGAGGTTCGTGGGGTTCCAGGGGCCCGGGTTGAAGCTATGAGAAAAGGTCTGTGGCAGGCCGATCTCGCCATCGTGCTGTTGTTGCGGGAATGTGTCTAGGCCGGCCAGGGAGGCATTGTTCGATTGGAATGAGTTGACGAAAGATGTCAGTTCTGAGAACAAAGCTAGTTAGCTCAGGTATACTTGAAAGTCGGCCACCGGTGGAATGAGGACTCACCATTCAGGTTCAGCTGCTCCTCTGCAAAGAGGAAGCCCTGTGGTGTCAAGAAATTGGATTCCTGGCCGCTGGGAACGAACTGGCTATCAACAGACGGCGCCGGGGCAGCAAACGCCTCCGCTTGGTCGGGGAAGCTCGAGCCGGAGAAGGCGGGCTGGTCGAGGTCGAGATTTAGCGGGGATAGGCCCGCCGGGTCCGAGCCGGCATGGTGGCCGACGACGGCAAAGCCGTTGAGACTGCCGCTGGCCGGGCTAGGTAGGAAGCCGACTGAGGCCGGGTACGAGGCGTAGTCGAGATACTGCCATGATTCTTCGGTGTCGGCCGCGGACTGCTGATCGTAAGGCGAATGAGGCGTCGGGCCCCTTGAGGAAACAGAAGCCATTGTAATTTCTGTGAGTAGGCAGGACGTATAAGCGGCGGACCGTTGAGTCGCCCGGTGCTTTCAATCCGCTCGGTAATTTCGATTCGATGATTCCGTAGCCCCTTGTGGTTCTGTTGAGAAAACCGAAACAACAGGTCCTTGTTTCCTCACAACGTCGAATGGCCAGTACTCCGGGGGGCTGTGTCTGCTTACTCCCAATTTTGCAACTGGCGCGGGGGTCACTCTCCGGACAAGCGAAAAAATGCTAGGCCTCGTCTCGTCTCTTCTCCCTTTCAACACGCATCGGAGTCGCGATTCGAAATGTCGTCGGCCGGATTGCAAAGATGTTGCTCAATCTCACGAGTTGCCCTTTTCTCACCGTTCTTTACCACTCGGGAAAGTCATGCAGGAGAGCGGGAACGAAGTAGAGACGGTGCGAAAAGGGCAGCCAACAAGATTAATACGAGGGGGGAAAACGGCGCTGTCACACACTCAACCCCCATGACAGCAGATGAGCAGCGCGACCAGTAAGCAGCGGCGCCGCAGCCATCCCGCGCAGACCCGTCAACCTGTAAGGTACTTTCTTGTGGGCACGCTGTGCTGCTGGATGAGCTGGTCCTGGTCTCCGCTCCTTCGGCCCAGCTGAGCCACTAGGCCCTTTCTGGGACCGAAGGTGGACCCACCGCTCCACGAATGAGAGTGCTCTAACCCGATCCATCACCGGCAGCTCACCGGGGCCCGGAGCTGCGGGAGGACCCTTCTGCCGTACCGGTGGCCGTGGTGACCGAAGCTGGTTCCGGCTCCTGCCATCGGAAAACGCACTTGATGCCGCGGCTCCGTTCCGTGGCGGGAAAGGGTGAATTTCAGGAAACTTCAACTGGATTAGAGTGGCATGAACGGAAGGCACAAGATACCTACCCTTACCTACCTTGCCAATTATGCATCAGCGTTGCGTTTCTAGCAATCGGCACTGTCCTCTTCCCTTCTCCCAACCAAACCAACGTTGTTTCCTCCGTCCAACCTCAATTACCTGAGAGGCGCTTTATCAATGCAACGCCAACCCGACGTCGAACTTATTCTCACCACGACCCTTTAACGTTTGAAAAGACTGATTCTCTTATTGCGTTTTTACAAATGCCTCAGAGATCGACAGTGAAGCTCATACCAGCGAACCGGCCCGAGCCCCAAGACCCTTGATGATTGACCGTCATCTAACATCCCTCAGGATTGCATCCCGCTCCCTGTCGATATCAAAACCCCCAGCAGTCATAACATCAAGCCTCGAGTGCACCTTGACTCAAACCAACCTCCCACACTCCGCCATTCCGCGTCCTGTCGTTCTTCGCATCACGAACCGCCTCCAAGCATCTAGCTGCATGCATGTATCAGAGGACAATCGCTCCCCGGATCTGCCAGAGTGGATAAGCTCGCAACGCCCCGGCATTCGACCTTTGTCCTCACGACACCACCGTAGAAACGCCAACGCCAATCTCGTTTCTCTACCACGATTACAATGTCGAGTCTGGCAAGCTGATCATCACGCCTCCTCTCTCGTGTGACTAGAACAACGCCCAGCATCCCCCGCCAGGATAAGGTTTAGCGCGCGCGGCGCTTGACTAGCACTAACACGCACAACGTACGGACACATCTGTCCGCCTGTTTGCAAGTCGAAGTTGGCACAGCTCAGGCCATAAACCCCGTTCGGTGCGGAAGCTAAACGGGTCCATGCCGCCCGGCACGGCCTCCCCGCCGACGCCGGTGCCCAGGGTCACATATTGCCACTCGCCTAAGGGGGAGACAAGGAGGAAACTGTTGGTTTTGCTGGATTGTATGCCGCTTCCGTCGGCATCCTGCCGTCATTCCTAGCCTGCTCCATTCCTCTTCTAGGCAGCTTGGCCGACACTACACAAGGGCCGGTGGCTTCTTTCGCGACCCCGTTGATAACTGGCGAAATTGGAGGCAGAATATTCAACTACAACAGGCCGGCTATAGCATCGTTGGTTATCCTGTTCACGATCCACCCCGGCACGAAACTAGCTCTCACACCTCGAAACAATGATTCAGGATCCCGAGTCCGAAGTTGGCACAGCACCCTCGTCACAGACAGAAGCACGTTCCAATTCTGCCCGGGTAAACCCAGTGAGTCGCGTGCCAGGACGAACCCCCTTCTTCTACTGCGTCCTCTAATCTGCTTGGGATCCCACCACTTCAAGTCGATACAGTGGGAAAATGTCCCTAAGATAGAACATCCAAACCACCACGACCATGGGCATTGCAAACCTTGTTCTGCCACACAGCTCTGCTTATTCACTCTCTAGTCAGCCAAGATTCGAAACCACCTTCTACCGGACTCTAACGTTCTTCCAGAATTCCGCTCATTTCGCATCCTTGCTTCCCTGTGCTCATAGGCTTTGTTCCCAGCACCGGCCTGTCTATTCGCGCCCTGGAGTTTGCCTTACCCGTACTGATAGCAAAGCATAGAGAACTCCATTCTTTGCGACAATGTGTCAATCGGACGCCGCTATGTGGGCGGTAGAACTGGAGAAGATCGCAAAACAGAGCCCAAGCCAGGATGTGGCCTTTTGGCCTGTTTGCCATGTGCCCGGGTTTGCTTGTCATTCTTCAACACGACCGCACCAGTCCCACCAGCAACCTCATCGCATGCTTGTCTATGTAACCCTACCAATCACCGGATACTGTAAGTCTACATCATACTATTCACCGGCTCTTTGCCTCGCCTTTGACATGAGTTGTCAAGGGGTGCACGCGGCGCAGTCCGACGGGATTCTATGCGGCACGCAGATCGCATCCCTTCTTTCCCATCCATCTTCAACTCACTTTTCCAACAGCTTGCTTACCCCCCGGTTTCATTACTTCGCCCCCCGGCCCTGAGCCTTCTTCCCCGGGAGACCCATCAGGCGGGATGCGACACAACGGTCTCCCCATTGACTTACAGAGCTTCTTTGATCGTTTTACAGTTTGCGTTCCCCGTTCTTGGCCAGGTGATAGTGTAGGATACCTCCGTCGATCGCCGCTGATGGCCCTCGGTGGTCCTTCCCGCCCAAGTCACCCCGTCAGGCACGCAAGCAGGAACCCCATCGGCTGATGATCACCGTTCATTTCAGCCCAACCCAAGCGCCGCCTGGTGTGGGGGGTAATACAGTCGCACCGATAGGATAGGGGCAGAGGCGACGGATACTTGGGTTCCTGCCATGCCTGTCCTGCCATCATGCCGGGTTAACAAGCCAGATGGCGTAACTTTGGCTCCTGGAACTTGCGCAGGGAAGACGCGAAAGCACCCCCCGTCCCCTACTCGATGGCAGGAGTCAGGAGCCGTGCGACGAACAGAGCGCCTCAAGTCATGACGTTTACGAACTGGATACCGGCACATTTGAAGGACACCGCGTAGATTCTTGGCGCTGAGAGGGCGCGCCCAGCCACGGGCTATAGGATATCAAACTGCCAAAGGCTCATCTAAGCCGCCCAAATCAAGTGAGTAGAGAAGAGAACAACAATAGTATAGTAGGGATATGTCCAAATTGCTTTCACACACTCTCTCGTGAACCGCACAAACGGGGACAAACAATACGCACAAGCGCAAAACAAACGTTGTCAAAACAGCCATCCGGTAGCCCAGTGTAAGTGACGGGTGTCTGTCCAAAAAAGATATGACCCATTGAAACAACTCCAGGCCCCCAAACTACGCCGTGGCAGTGCAGAAACGAATAGCAAGCCACCAAAATAACAGTACCAACGTACAAAGAGGTTTCCGCCCTTTCCTGATGAACCTGTAGCGCCCACCGCTTTCCCTTGTACAATGCTCATGCCCTTTTTTTGCTTGCGAAACCAAACCGTAAAGGGTCAAGTAAAGGTGTATGTATGTGTGTGTCGTGTGCGTGTGTAAAGAGGCAGTTCAGTCGAGAGTATCTGGAGGCCGCAGAAGTAAAGCGAGGTTTTTCTGCCCACAAGGGAGCGCCATTACCATTTCTCGTACAAAAAATCAGATTAAAAAACAAACAAGACGCAACTCGCTTTGCCGAGAGGTGGAGTGTTGAGCTAAGCTAGAGCCTGTGGGTGTTTTCTCCTGCGTCGTGCCTTTGGGGGCCGCTGTCGTCCCGATGACGTCCCGGTTCCGTATCGAGGAATCATTCACACTCTTCTTCTCTTCTTCTAAAGAACGAGGTAGATTCCGCCCTTCTGCAATAACTTTCAGTTCGTAAGGTCCGTAAAATGTCGTAAACAAAGTGCCACATTGGCCGCCAGCATCGAGACACTCGCCGTGGTTTGCTGCGCACGGCGAGGTTGTCGACTTCGGCCTGGGCGAGTATATGATAGGAGGAAGCATGGAAGCACACTAGCTTCTGAACCGCTGTGCAGCGCGGTCTTGGATTTGCTTCTCCGTAGAAACGTATAGTCGGTCGAGGTAGTCCATGGCGCTCGCGTCCTTGAGGATCTTGGCTACCTGAATGCCCGCCGAAATGAGCTGTAAAATGTTGCGGTCGTCCTTTAATGGGCGACTCTGGTGCTTGGCCGCATGTCGCATTTCCAATGAATTCTCGAGAATCGTGACAAACTGCTTAATTTGGCCGTTGTAGAGTACCCGCGCCGGGATGCGGCGCTTCGTAGCCAGGCGCTTCAGAAGGTAGACCCATTCTGTCCATTCTCGGTCCTGAGGTCGCTCGACAGGTCGCATGTCCTGTGTCAAAGGAATGGGGAACTGATATTTGGCCACGAAGTCGTACGCACACTGAGAGAGCCTGTCGTTGACTTGGGTGAGCACCAAGTCCTGCTCTTGAACGTGTAGGTTGGTAGGGAGATGGGGCAGTTCGCGTTCTTGCATGGCAATGTATTCTGGCGGCGGGCGAGCGAGAAACTGATGCGGGCCGTCGAATTCGTCGCGGTTAGAAGGTCGACGTTGTGGCCGACCCTTGCCATTCACCTTGCTCTTACTCGGGGGAGTGGTGCCGGCCCCGTTCTCGAGTGAATAATCAGAAAGGTTCGGAGATGCAATAATGTCGTCGACAGAGTCCGTCGGGGAGTATCTTTCCTGGTGATCCCATGATTGAGAGTTCGTACTCTTGTACGACCCGTAGCCGGCGGCACCACTGGTGCCGTATGTGCCAGAAGCTGGGCGCGATCCGTACGCCGGAGCAGCGGCGGCGGCGGCGGCAGCGGCAACAGCATGGGGATTGGTTCCGATCGGCAAATTGTAGTTACTAGCTCCTGGCGAGTACGTGGACACGCTTGAAAGGGATGGTGTTACTCGTCTGCTCCTTTGTGGGAATACATCATGAACAATGACGTCTGGTTCTTACCTCGATGAACGATAGTAGTTGGTATCAAATCCTCCGGCAGGCGGGAATGTATCGTTGTACATTGAACTTTTCTCAACGGTCAGTCACCCCTCCTCGGGCATTTTTTTGAAAGTTAGGGGAGCGGTCCGTACCTCCGCGTCGAGTTCCACGGTCCGTTGGACATGGCTGATGGTCTGTAGGCAAAATCCGGCTGGGCCATATCTTCCGGGGGCATAACGGTAGAGAGAAAAGAAATCAGACAGCAAAATGTTTGGAAATCTCCTAAGTGTCCTGAGATGGAAGCCACGTGAAATATGAATAGTCCTTAGGCGGGCAGGTCAGCCCTGGGTGTCCAAAAAAGAGTCCTTTGGGCTGTGATCTTCGGCCAAGTATTCCTGGGAAAATGCGGCAGGTTGTCTCCTCAAACACAAGGGAATCCACGATAACAAAAATGGTCTTGTTCCAGGATGGGACCCTTGAAGAACTCCGGGTCGTTACAAGGGCGGTGTGCGTGATGGGGGGCAAGCAGGTGATCGGTCCAAGAAACGACCTGTCTCCACGAAGACACCTTAAATGACTTATAAGATGATCGGGAATGGCTTGACGTAAAAGACACTAGGGGGTTAGTGGGAGATGTCTGATCTTGCTGGCGCAAAACGGGAAAGAAGAAACCAACAAGCTCCTGGGATGGACGAGGATGGGGGAGCGGGCAGGATCCTGACAGTGGATGATTAAGTTCGGAATGGAGGCATTTATGTCTGCTTGCGATGTCCTTCCTCGTGGGGCGTTGTACTGGAGCGACGACAATGGTTGATCCTGGTCAAGACAGCCAAAAGATGTGGTCCGTTGGGAAGTCGAGGCGAAGGGAGGACAGGGACCAGGACAGACGCAGGCCGGCGAGACTCGAGTAAAGATTTGCATTCGCCCTAACGACCAACACCATGGACTCATGGAGACGTCTCTGGTTTCAAGCGGGACGGCTGCCGCATGGGCTGGAGGATACGTGACTGCCAAGCGCTGTAGTCCAGAAGGTTCATCTGTCGGGCGTCCTGGAATAGATTGGTCGACGGTGGGAGCCCCAGGACAAGTTGGCATCCATCCCTAGCTTGTCGAGCGTGGATCGTGGGCACGACACGCGAGTGACGAGGGAGATCAGCGTGCCCTTTGATTGCTGGTGCTCTTCCTGTCCCCCTCTATTTTTCGCGCGATGCCAGGTCGAATTTTTTGACAGTTGGCCCCTCAGTCAAGGAAGACCCCAGAAGGACGACAAATCTTATGGCCGGCCTGTGTAGGCTCACGCGTGGAAGCCATTGGACGTGCCAACTCCTGACGGAGGACGGAGCCAGTTGTGTCGAGTAGGGCACCGATTGGGCTGTGACAGAAACTTTTCCTTTGCTGGGCTGGAGGATTGTTGCCCGAAAGGTCGGAGTAGCTTTTCGGTACCGGATGGGATGATTTGTGCAGGGTTGTACCTAGCGGGAGAAGAAGCGGTGACAACAGGCCGGGTTGGGCACAAATTGGACAAGCAAACACCGACGGCCGATACGATGAGGGGACGCGCGCTACGTGCGAAATGTGCGTGCCCAACCATGCCTTGATGCCCACCTGGTAAGTCGAAGTTGCTTTTGTGCATCATTGAATCAGGAAGCCTCCATCGAATACCCCGACAGTGGCATTGCGCGGAAGGGGTCGACTGACTATTCACCAGTCAACCAATCATGCAGCGCTTCAGCAGACATTCTTCGTTGTCACAACTGTGGGCGTCTTGCTCCGCTGAATCCCGGGTGGCTTCTGCTACTTTGGCAGTACCGAGTCGGTGACCTTTGGAGCCTCAATGATTCGCGGGCCCGACGAATGGTATGTGTAACCTGAACGTAACGAACGTGAAGCTAGTCACGGCGACATTGAGGCAAGGGAAAGCTTATGGATCCAGGAAAGATACTGCTGGGGCTGGTCAAAATTTGGGCGGAAGTGTCTGGGCCCCCCCGCCAGGGCCAATGGTGTGCACCCCAGAGGCTTCAAGGCTGGTCGTTCGGCTGGCTGCGGGTGACTAGCCCATCGCCATCGACTTCCATCGCCAATCAGGCGGGATGACGTGCGCCTCGGTTAACCCCAGTATCCTGGCGTGCTTGGGTAGTTTCTCGATAACCTCAACGATTCGAACTCGACTGTTCCGAATCCAAGGGCGAACAGTGATGGTCGGACGATCGCCGCAATCTCTTTGCATAATATGCCCTAGATAGGTTGATCGATCTCGGGGTGCAGTGACAGTCAGAAGCAGTCGAAACGAGCCAAAGATTGCCGAGTGGAGGAGGGGGGCAGGATTGCTATTTCGTCTATTGATGAGCTGTCAGGCGGCGCCTCGTGGATTGCGGGGATTGCGGGACGATCAAATCGCCAAAGAGATAAAATGAGATGGATGACGTTAGTTGTTTTTGTTGCCAATTTCGTCACAAACGTATCGAGCTGCTGTCACATTTGACAGTTATCTTGGTGCAATGGCGACAACGACTCCGGATACATCTCGTGCCATGTGTATGCGCTGCAAGATTTTGGGGGAAAGCCGTTATCGTTCCAGCAGCGCATTGATACAGGGTGGGTGGGGAGTTTGTTTTGTTGTTTCGTATGCCTCATTGAGACGACGTCTTTCTGGAGCGGAGTAGACCGTTGAATGTTGGCCGAAACAAAGGAGCGAAGAATCTTGGGCTCCCCATGTCTCCGGGCATTGAGAAGGCCGGGATGTTGCGCATGGCGGAGCGAAATGCGCATGACATGGCCGAAATCACAACCGGTGTGTCCCACTTTAAATCTGGCGATTCGGAGGGGTATGACCGGCCACTTCCACTGATCTGTCAATGCGTCTTTGCTTCGTCGGGTCGATGCTTCTATTCCGTTTTCCGGGATAACGGCTCGAGATCGAGCTCAATCGAGAGGCCCGTCGCGGGTTCCTGGTCGGCCCAGTTCTGCCACGATTGCCAGGGTCGCACCGATGGAAGATCCGGCCATAGAAGCATTTTCGAATCTTCGGGTTTGACGTTGGGAACAACACTGGCTTGGTAGTCTAGGTTGTGAGGATGATTCAAGGGAACAGGGTTGACGCTCGACGCTAAAGATGACACTTTACTATGGAAGATTGGTTTATGCCTTGCTTATTAGCGCAGGTGGGTTGAGTTCTGGAATATTCTGTTCGTCCGTTTGAGTCGTCGGTTGGAATGCTGTGCGGGAGGAAGTGTGGTTGTACGGTATTGTCAATCCGAAATGAAGGCGCGTTGCCTGATGGTGTAAGGAGTAGAAACTCATGAGGCAGGGCGCCGCTTGCCCATTTGGATGTTCACATTTTCCTTTCAAGTTCAGGTCCTGCAGGTCCGGCCCTTCCTCTCCAGGCTCTTGAATACTCCGTACGCACCTTCCATTACCTACCTTAAGGTACAACCTCAATGGCCGGAAATACAACGGCAGGACGAACTTGGAACCGACCTGGAGGGGCTTAGCGGGGCTGGACCGGGTGTTTCCCTGACCCACCAACTGACACCCTCCATCTCCTATTGGTCAAACTCTTATGCACCTCTCGTGTAGCAACTTTCACCTGATCGCTTACGCCAATCATCATCAACATCAGCAACGTTTTCGTCAAGTTCAGGAGGCTGATTAAACATGAGGGACCGAAGGCAGAGTCTCCTAAGTCGCAAACGAGGTGTATCTCTTCTCTGAATTCCAATCTCCTAGCTACCACTTCTATGCTGTCCCCTTCTTGCCCAGAGCTTTCCCCAGGATCTCATGCAGCTGCAAGATCAATCTCGCTCTGGTCCGCATAGCCGCAGTTCCCACCAAGCATGATCAATCGGCGCCGCCTCAAGCCCCGGGACTGTGTGGAGAATCATTGACGACGAGGTGTATTGAGTTGACATGGCACCGCCTAAGAACCGAATACGCAAATTCCACCGTCGCAGCAAGAACGGTTGCTCGACGTGCAAGCAGCGTCATGTACGATGTGACGAGCGCAAGCCTTTGTGGTATGCACCCCTCTCTCATCTGCCATGTCCATGTCCCCTTAACAATGCTCGTGCCCCTCAACTGCCCCTTGTCAAACGTCCTGCCCGTGGAGGACCAGCGCATTACCCGTCGAATGATTACCTAACATCGGCTTTAGCACAAACTGTCTGCAGACCGGCAAGGACTGTGTATATCCAGACGTTGAACCTGACGAGGAGTCTCAATCAGGTTCTCTTCCAGAGTCTCGATCTGGGTCCGAGCTCACCGTCGTCCCGGCTGAAGAAGCCTCCATCATCACCAACGTCGTGTCAAACCAGCCATTTGCCGGCTTCTCATGCGATTACCAGATGTCGGCAATGTCACAATGGCTCTGGCACCAATGTAAGCAGCATTTTTTGCTTCCGAGATCACTTGACTGACACCATGCCCAGTCACTGCCTTTTACGTCAGAGGTCAGACTCCGGTAGAAAGGGGACAGAACCTATGCAGGTATGGTATCGTCTCCTATCCCAGGGCACCATCCGGGCTAACATGAGAAAGCGTACAAAGGACACTTCTGCATCCGGGCCTGCTTCATGGCTGCCTCGCCGTTGCAGCTTGCCAATGGGCATGGGTTACTGGATCCCTTGAACACGTCAAGGTGCCGTTTCTCTATCATAAGACAGCCGCCTATGAGTTTGCGAAGCAGCAACTCTCCGAGTCTGAGGAAACCGTCAGCGACACAGCCATTTTTGCTATAGCCAGCCTGGCACTCACCGAGGTAAAGAACCATGACGTCCTTGTGATAGAGATTTGTATGTTAATGGCATGCGCAGGGAGCGGTTGGGGACTTGGACGCTTCTTCGAAGCACCTGCGCGGTCTTCACAGACTAACTCTCAGGAAGAACGGCTACAACTTGATGAGATCGAATCTAGCGCAACAGATGCTGCAGATGTGAGTGGCCCCTTGCGGATAATGTGTAGCATTGATCGATTAACAAATACTTTGACAGGGCTGGCGATCGCCTACGTCTAGGAGAAGTCAATGTGATCCACGATGCCATTAGTGCTGATTTCCAGCCCAGTATCATCGCCTTGCTATTCACTTCACTGTGGGATATGGAAAGTCTCCCGCCGCGGCAAGCACCGAGATACGGATGGTGGGAAGGTGACGAGACACCCACGGACAGGCTCTGGCAGGACTATACCAAAAACCTAAACTGGGAGCTTTCCCGTGGATTCGATCCAGAGCGCAACATAGCGACGATGCTCAACGGCGACGCAAAGAGCAGCAGGGCGAGCTACATTGCCACCTTCTTCTACCTCGTCATGGCGGTCAACGACAGCGAAATGGATTGCGTCCTAACCGTGTGGTTGCTGGAACAGCTCATTGACGATGTTTGCGACAAGGAGGAGGAAATGATTGCCGGGACGTTCAGTCGCAGCCTTTGGTTATGGAGCGTCCTGTTCGGAGCTGCTGTGGCTTACACGGGTAGGCCAATTACCGCAACGGGCAGAGAGCAACTCGCGAGGTGGACAGAGTTGTACGCTGCGAAATTGAGCTTGGCCAGCAACGTACTGCAGCTCGACAGCTGGCACGACGCGAAGACAGTCCTGGCGGAAGTTGCCTGGACTGAAGGCTCAGATGCTGAGGGGAGATTACAAGACATATGGGAAGCAGCCGTCTTGCGTCGTAAGGGCTCTGCACATCGTGTCCATGAAGTGGGCGTGACGACGTCGGTGGCTGAAAGTCAATAACAACACGGCTAGAAGATCTTCCAGCTTCCGAATCGCCGTGCTCAGTGCCCTCCAATCGGCAGCACCATTTCGACAGAAAGAAATACGCTGATGTATATCCCCGTACATGACATCGCCGACTGCACACCGGAGCAACGTTTTGTCGAGATCCGGTGTCAAGTTTTCGGTGACCTAGAGGCTGGCGACCCTGGCTTGAGTCAGAAAGCCGGTACACCGAGATTTAGATCGGCGTTTTAGGTAGGGGATGATGCTCTGCAACACCCAGTTTGTCGTAGCGCAGACGGGCGGCTTCATATCCGAAACTTGTTTTTTTTCCTTCTCACAGTGAAAAACTAGCAGCTGAAGAAAGATCCACCGACTGGTATCTCTTGATCTCCGGTTCGTGTCGGCGACGGCGGCGAGGCGCAAGGGCAAGATCGCCATGATTGCCAATTGCCTCACGTTGTGTTAAAGGGGGATTTCGACTCGGCAGCATCTACCGAGGGACGAGCGTGACAGAGTTCAATGGTGTGGTAAAGACGACTAGGATGAGCCGAGTAAAATGTGCTCCTCCTGCGACCGGGCTCGATGGGGAAGTGTGGGAAGGGAAGCTGCCGAACGGGAGGTTGGAACTCTGCCGGCACGGATGGGTCAGCAGTGGATACTCATGTACTGATCATCATGCTTGAATATCCAAGGACACTCACGTGCAAGAGTTGGGTCAAAGAGTTATGAAGCCTTTGATGCAAAATGGTAGTAAAATGCTGGAGGGGGGAAATGAAGGAAGGAAGGTGGTTTCATCGTACATCTGCCTTATTGTCCCAACAAGAGGTATCTACTGACTGTATCCGTAAGTACCGGTGATTAGACAATTAAGGTAAGATGGGTTGAAAGGCGGCAAGCTATGGCGCTGGTCTGAGGCTGCGGGTGGCTTGCGTCAAGCTAAGTGCCGTTTGTTTGTTTTATCCGTACGGACGGGACGTTGTAGACGACTCTGAAAACGGACAGCGCTACCGCATGGCGCATCGTGGCTTCCCCAATGCCATGTGTCTTAGTCTTTTGCTCTTGCACTTTACCTTACCACCTTACATAAGGAACTTCATCTGAGAGTCTGGGACAGAAGGCAACAACCTTGCACACACTCTCGCGATCTCGACTTCCAATGTCAACGTCTCGTCGTCTGCGTCCATCGCCAAGGTCTTTTCTCCATCCCATCGTCAATGCTCTCCACTCGACGACGGGCGCCTCCGTCTCACGTCTCTCGCTGTCCCCTCGTCCCGTATTCCGTGTCAACGTCAGCTCATCAGCCATTTCGCATTAAACCCCCTTGAACTGCCACACGCCAGTGGTTCCCCGCGTCTCAAGCTCATGCTGGCCTCAAAGTCAACAAGAGTCAAGACCACCGGCTTCACCAATTTCCAGCTCATCGGCGTCAATGAAGACCGAGGTGGGGGGCCAGGAAGATGGGGCTGTTCAATGCAAACTCGACGGGAATCCGGAGAACGAAGCAAGAGACGACGTGGAGCGATTGCTGGTGATCGAGTCGAACGCTCGTGGATCGCATCAAACTACTCAAGATGCCGCTGTCGTTGCCGGTGCTGCTGCCGTTACCGCTGCGCTCCATGATACGACCAACATGACAAGTTGCACCATGTTGTCAAGCCATCACAAGGCCACACGCTGCACGTTACTCATGCATCGTAATGCAGCATCATCAAAGGAGTCGCAAATGGTTGGCAAGGACCGCTTCCGCCAGAAGCAGGCCAGCTGGTAGACACCGAAAGACTGCATCGCGAAGCGCGTTTATGTGTCTTGCGGGCGTGATGCACTGCATTGTTGCTTGTGGTGTGTGGCCGACTGACTGCGACCCGAGCCAGTGAGCATCGAACACGCCAAAATAGCTGCTGGCGGATTGTGCAAGTTGAGACGGAGACTGTCGGCCGGTGTGTGTCAGCCATTTGCGGCCCGCCAACCACGGCCACTGCTTCGTCGACGCGTGAGCCGGCGACGTGCCTACACCAATGAAGCAGCCAACGACCAGGAGGAAGAGTAACACGAGGTTGACGGACAAACGGGCTGATAGTCCGGCCTTCCGCAGTTCCCGCTCGGCTGTGGTGCTACGCTTGTCTGTTGTTAGTGTCGTGTGCGTCTTTTTTTTCACCCTCTCGCTCTGTCGCTCCGCCGCCGTCTATCGCCTGGCTTCTTCTAGCGGCCGGCGGTGTCGATGCCACCTCGGCAAGCGTCGATTGATGCGCGTCAAAACATTGGTTCAAGATGGCGCCATGACTTTGATGCTCGAGACGGCTACTGGAAACGAGTTACGGGAGGCTATCACGTCTGTGCGAGGAGAGAAAGGGGGAAAGTCAAGGAACAGTCGGAACAAGAGCAGCAACATATGGGATGGTTAGGATGAGCAAGTTCCGCGCACGGTGCGAATGGATGGGAAGATGAAGGGTCGGGGAGAGCAAGCTTCAACCCGCTGCGAGTCGACGAGCTGGGCAGCCTTGTTTCTTTTCTCTGCGTCTTCTGGCCTGCTCTTCTACCGCCGGGACGCTCGAGGTTTCTGCACGGATGTGTTGGTGCTGCAGCCATGATCCCTCCACGCTGCCGAGACGGACGAAATACTGGCAGCGCGATAGGTCAGGGACACGATCAGTCTCCACCCGGGACCCAAGTCCAAGTCAGGAAAATCAAGGAAGCAAGACCAGTCACCGCCATCCTCGCTCGGAACGGGCCTATGACAGGCGCAGGCAGAATGAGGCCAGCTGGCTAGCGCCGTGTGTTAGCTCGAGTTTGACCTGCGGTCTTTCTGTGACGGCCAACACCAAGGCACATATTGGATACGACGAGGTCGGCGATTCGGCGGTGGACGCTGGCCGCATGTTTGTCTGTTTCCAAGGCAGCCAGCAGAAGCTGAGAAGATGATGCTGCCAGGAGTCCAGACACTCTGGCCAGCAGCTGCCCACGACATAAGACAGAGAGATGAGACTGGATGGGCTTGGAAATGAGTGGTGGACAAGATATTTCAAGATGTGATTGCTATTGCCTTGGCCTAGCACCCATCTGCAGAAACCAAGGGCGCCAATGCTTCGGAACAGGGGTTGTCTCTGGCCAGCAGAGCATGGGCAGGGGGGACCACGCATGTCGACGTGGTGGACAGCTCCACCCCCAATCCTCCCCTCCCGAGTCTGCCATGCCCGCAGCCCCTTGGATGCCCCCCTCACAGACCTCATCTCGTTCGCTCGTTTGTGCGAATGCCAGCAGAGACATGGCTTCGTCCCGCAACATTAAAACCCGCTGACCCCCTCTGTCCCTGCCCGACGTCTGCTTCTCTTCTTATTCTTTCAGCCCAACCCGCAACCTCATTCCTACCCAACTTGTTCTGCATTCTGCATCGCTGATCTCTGGCAACCCAACAAGCGCCAATATTCTCTTCTTCTACCCGCCTACATCCCTTCCAGCCCTCAAACAAACGGCCAACCTGAGCTAAGAAAGATCAAAAAAGATCTTCCGCATCTTGCCACCCAAGGATTACCATACTCGACACCATCTCGACCAAAGCATTCCAAAGGAACGTCGCAAACAAGTGATCCGCTGTGTTTGCTCTTTTCTTTGGTATCTTCACGCACGACACAACTCAGCCGAGTTGATTTACATTGCCCTGGATTTGCATGACTACGCGACCCGAGGAATCAATGACTGCCCTTGTTGTTCCGCGCCCGGATATGCCTGGCTACAATTCTCTTGATTTGGACGACGTCCACACACCTTCTAGGTATTGTCTTTTCTTATTCTGTTCCCAGGGTGGTCCGTCGTCTTTTTAAGTCATGTCTTGCAAGCTTCATGTACAGTTTCTTCGCGTCTCTACCAACCAGATCTTTCCCGCCGCGGAGGCACTCAAACTCAAAGGATACATCGACCCATGGACTCTTTTTCCGGACTATTTTCTGCCTGGATACTTTCCGAAGGATCATTGCCTGGGACATACTTTCATTCCACTGGACACAGGAGACCGCAGTGCAGGGGCCTAGCCTCTTGCCCGTCGTGCCAGACGCGGTCATCAACAATATTTGATACTACAATTCTACCGGTGAGTACTGCCCGACAAGAGCAAACCTGAGACAAGCAGCAACTTGGACTCCACTGGAATATTCCGCACCAAACAAACCTGGACAATACCTGGAAACCTTTCCCCAATGGATATTCATGGATATGACCTACTGGAACTCATGGACGTCTCGCCCGAGGCTATAGAGGCTGCCCAGCTTCGCATTTGGATGGACTTCCCTGTATACCTTTTCCCAACGACATTGGATATGCCGGTTCTACTGCCTTGCCACTGCCTTATTTCAGGCTTGACTATGGCATATGTCGACAAATAGACCCTGGATTATTACGGTGCTCCAGCACGCGTCGGCTTCTGTTCTCTCTGTTCATGGATTTCCGTTTGCTTCGATCATCTGCTTCGACTTGGCATTACCTGGTCTGCTTTCACCCAGCAGTACACCTTCATGGACGGGACTTGCTACCCCGCTGTTTTCTGGAAATTCGCTCATCAACACAACCGGCATCATTCGTCATCTTTAGGACCTTGCACGACTACTCACGCCTTCTGAACCGACATGAGGACAACGTAATCGCACTGAGGAAACTTGATCGTACCTTGAATACTGCGACACCAACAACACAGCACACTACCAAGGACTTCTATTTTTCACGACTCTTGACCATGAGGATCTACGACCCATCTCTGTTTACTACTACACACCTGGAGTTCCACATATCTGATCCGCGGATTCACACTGGACCATTCTCGCCATCTTTCCCTGGACTGTATACTGGCATGATCATGTTGATCTGCGCTCGCTTGGTCTGTCAACTCATAACTCCGAACCTATGAGGCACAAGACCAATCTGCTAACATGCTTGTACTACAGGAACAAAGTTGTACCATGCTGAGATGATTTCTTGTTTACTTGTTTTGCATTGCACACATGATTAGTGGAGAAACAGCACACTAACCCCCCCTTTCAGCGACTATAGCTTCTTCCACGCACAAATGGTACCCTCAGGAATGTTTTCCTTTTCTTCTCAAACAGGACCATCGGACCCCCTGAGTGGTTCGTGGGAAACGACAGGAGAAGGTGCACAGAACTTTCAAGACTTCTCAGACAACGGATCTGCCCACCCCGGAGACTCCGAGGACTACTCATTCCAAGTTGATGGCCACATCACGCCCAGAGGACAGGGCCAAACTACCGAGGATTTGCAGAGCAAGTGGACTGCTCCCGCAACTGTTGGTAGCGAGCCCATGCGGAGAGGAACTTCGCGCAGCTCAGCCGGAAGCCGCAAGCACCGGATTTCCAAGGTCACATCTCCCAAGGCACGACCCACCAGAATGACTGCTGCCGCGTCAGCTCAAGTATCTGCTCAGCTGTCCTCCATGGACATCACAGGTAATGCCACGGTCTACGGACCTCAGCCCAGCGCCCAAATGATGGACGTGAACCCCTACTTCCTGGACACGGATACGAGCGCCGTCTCGTCCCAATGGTTTAACTCGATGGAGCTCGGCATGATGCCCGATGGCCTGCCCTCAGGCGAGCTGAACATGCACGTTGTGCCTGCTCAGATGCAGCTTGACCCGGACTCGAGCTTGGGTGCTCACTCTCCCTCTGCCTCCTGGAACTCCTTTAGCCCTACAGAGTCGCACCTGTCTTCGCCGGCCGGAAGCACTGAGGACTCGTGGCTGTCCGCCCCCCTCATGTCTTCGCCGTCACACTCGGAGCACGTCTCCCCGATTATTCAAAGCCAGTCTCCAAGGTATGTTCCTCAGATCAGCTGCTCTAGCCTAGAGTCAGCCTCTGACGAGACACTCTTGTACAGCGCCAACGGGAAGTTCATGAGCGACGAGCTCGCTGGAAGCGTCCTTACCATCGTCGGCGATGCCGCACTGCCCCCTGCTTTCCCCAGCCGCCGGCCTACCAACGAGGGTGACACCGCCCGGGACCATCCTTTGTACAAGAACGCGACCCCGCAAGCCGATGGCTTGTTCCACTGCCCATGGGAAGGAGAAACCAGCTGCAACCACAAGCCCGAGAAGCTCAAGTGCAACTATGAGTAAGTCGGCTTTTGTCCTCGCCTCCATCTCCGCCCCGTCCCCCGAGACTAACCATCCCCTTCTTGTGCAGCAAGTTCGTGGACTCCCACTTGAAGCCCTACCGCTGCAAGATTGACTCTTGCGAGAATGCCCGTTTCTCCTCCACTGCCTGCCTGCTCCGCCATGAGCGTGAGGCTCATGCCATGCACGGCCACGGCGACAAGCCCTTCCTGTGCTCCTATGAGGGATGCGACCGTGCCATGCCCGGCAATGGATTCCCGCGCCAGTGGAACCTGAAGGACCACATGCGCCGTGTTCACAATGACAACGGCGTTCCCGGATCCCCTACCAGCGTCAGCAACGGCCAGCAGAGCTCCAAGGGCCGCAAGCGCAAGGATGCGCCCAAGGCCGCCACCGTCGGACCCGCACCACCCTCCCGCAAGGTCACCGCCAAGGCGGCCGTCGTGGAGGCTGCTGTCAAGGAGGAGCCTTCCTCCAAGCCCCTTATCGAGGAGTGGATGGCCCACCGCCAGGCTCTTGAGAACATCGTTCGTGACCTCAACCAGCCCGAGGACATGAAGAACTCGCAGCTCATCAAGGACGCCCACAACCTTCTGTCCGCCATGGGCAAGATCGGACACAACCTTACCGCTCAACCCATGGACTCCAAGGTCCCCTTCCACGGAAACTACGTCCACGCCGGATGAATACCTACTTTTGGTCCGTAAAAGCCCGCTTCACACCATCGATAAAAAAGACTTCCCACTGACCAGTCATTGCTTGCAGAACTTGACTACATCAGTCACAGAATGCTACCAGCCTTGAATGCAAGCGCATCAGGCATATTCGACTACAACTCGATCCTCTAAATTGTGGACGTTGTATGTCGCCGGGGTACCATCACGCTATCACGAGGACTTCGTGTCGCACTGAGCTTCTCTCACTCTGGATAAATCCAGACCCTTGGATGGATACACATCGTATGCCGCCCGGCAATGGATACCCAGGATTGAAGCCAACGGACACCGCAAGGAGTACTCAAAGAGCCAACAAAATGCGCTCTAGCGAGGGCCGCGCCGCCCCCGCGCCGCGGTCAGATGGAGGAAGTGCGATTGCGATGCAAGGGAAGGCACACTGTTTTGATTTACGCACGATGGACTTATTAGAAGAGGGTACATGTAAGAGCTCACGCTCGACACACAACAGAACTTGTATTTGTTTTTGGAACTGGATTTTGGAGAAGACCCTCACAGCGCGAGGCTCCGCCACAACTGTGGCAAGTTACAGACTCGATCGAAATGGACCAACAGCAACTGGAATTAGATTATTTGAGTATATAGGTGACGAAGAAGGGAAATAGTTAAAAAAGAAGAAAATGGAGTTGAATCTCTACGGTCCCCTGGCCTCACATGGACTGAATGTGCTTGAAGTGCAGTGGTGTCGTCGTTCCCAGCAGAGTGCGAGTAAGACCTTTTAGGGACTGTCTACAGCTCATATTCTGGCTCCGAGATACGGAAGCATCCTTATGGTGTCCCTGGTATCTGAGGGCGGCGAGTCCAGTTCAACCGAATGTCCATCTTAATACCGTGACTACAGCGTGACCAAGTGTTTCCCTGTCACACAGAATGGTTAGAAGCATCAGTACACGAGTTGAGTTTAGCGAACTCTGGTCTTGGCTTCATCTGGTACGTTTAGATCTATGCCTCGTTGCATTTTTTTGCGATTTCCCCCTTTCAACCCATCCTTTCCTCTCCTCCACTCATTTCTCCCTGTATGACTGCTTCATATCTTTGGGGAGTCCGACGCGTAGAACGATGAGGTGTAGGTACTTTTCTACAGTATCCACGACCAAGGCCTGGAAAGATACGACGCGCGGTCGATGGACCGGAATCAACGAAGTTTAGTTTCCTTTATGAGGCATCATAATGCTTACCCACGTCTTGCACATGGTTTCCGAGATCATGGCTCGAGGGTGCGATCTTCTGGCTTTGGGGTGTGATCACGATTTGCTTGGTAGGGGTTGGTAGATGGTGTTGCTGAGGAGGAGCTTATTGGGGTAGGCGGAATCGAGATTCTTGATTGAGCGGACAACGCCAGCGTCGACACGAGATCTCCCGAATAGTATTGGAGAACCTCTCTGCTCAATAGTGGTAGAGGGGTCGATGATAGATGTGAGCACTCCCCGCTTATGACCCCTCGATAGGATATGGTCAGGGGTAAGGAACCTTACAAAGGAATGGAACAATGGGGGAGAGGTGGTATGGAGAAGAAGAGCTGGGATTAACAAGGTCTATACGCATCCTGCGTTATTGACGGGGTTTCTTCCAGGGGAGTAACGCGTGGGTGTGGGGTTCAATAGCCTCTTTCTCTACATTTACTCTCTAGATCTGGTGGAGGCGTGGTCGTCTACCGCTCTGGGGACGTGATCGTGATTTTGCATGGGACGGCCTAGCCTCGCGGGAAGAGAATAAGATGGGATTTTCAACTTTTGTAGCTAGCCGACAATCGCTGGCGCGCAGGTAGGGGCCGTGATAGTTTCTTGGGAACGAAAGAGTATGTCGGCTATTGAATAGTTCGCCGTGTTGGGATGGTGGGGGCTAAAGAGGTTTGGTTTGTAGCAAGGTTGGTGATGTGAGTATAGATTTCGACTGTAGGGCTCGGCTACACGAGAGGTTCTTTCCAATAATGGGTATGTTACGATCGTCGTAGTTCTCTTAGATGTGATAGGCACATGATAGATCCAGTCTAGGAACCCCTGCTTGACGTGTACAAGATTTCCTCAACACAGGGAACTCCACGACTGTGAAGACACGATGGAAAAGCTAGAAAAGTTGCTCGAGTAACACAAATTGAGCATGCTAAATGGCTCGCAAGATCACCGACTGCGCAGCGAGCCCCTGAAGCCGATCAGGAGGTGAACGCCACAACCTTTTACAGGGGATCATGAACATCAGACAAGAATTGGATGATGATCGAACTATCAAGTTGAGATTGAGAGGAGAATCTAGGCACACGTGTGGGCGGGTAGGTTGATGTGTGTACGGGAAACGAGTCTGATGTTGTGGCGACAAAGAGACACGGGGAGAGAAAATCACACAGGAGCGGGAAGAGCATGCCCGCGCATAAAGTAGGGACGAGGATGGACGAGGATGGATGAGGACGAACAAAAGCCTTTCCGAGGGGTGTGTGTTTCTCGTGATTGCCAATGTTGCGCAACACATTAAACCTCAGAGTTCCAGATATTCAGGAAGAAAAGGCCGAAGAGGCGAGTCCAGGGTTCAAGCGCGCGGAAGAGACTTCTCGCAACAGGCGACGATCATCAGTCTGATCACCAGATGAATTTCCAATGTAGTTACGGCCTTCGTCCCCCTCTTTTACTTAATGATATGCCATTATAGCCTTTTCACACCGCTTGCCGTAGCTTATTTCTGGTCTTGAGTCTAGCTAGACTCTGTTTGATCGGCCTTGCGCGTATGCTGTTTGGTTATGTGTATGAGAGAGCGAGAGTGTAAGCCACAGCCTTGATAGAGTACGAAAGTGTAAGTCAAGTCGGAACGGACTCTCGTCCTGAAGGAGGCTCCTTTACCCCCTTTACAGGAATGTTACTCGCTCATGCAAAGAAGGATGCGACTATCAACTAGATCGCCTTCGGTCGAACACGAATACCCCCCCCCCCCCCCCTTTCCTTTCGCGATGACTAGCGTTCGATCTAGAGATTCACTTTCCCACCATCTCTTGAGATCATCACCTCGTTCTTCCTTCTCCTTCTGCTCTGGTAGGCCGTGCGCGAGAGCAATTCGCGGCTAGTAAGAACAAGAAAAAGGAAGGAGGATAGACTTTCACGCAAGGGAGGGAGGAAAGCGACCATGGTGTCGAAGGCTTGTGCAGCCTGCCACGTGGAGGTGGACTTATGGAGGACGTGAGAATTTGCAAGGTCGCACTCTGCAGTGGGACGTTGACGCGCATTCTATGGGGGATGCTGCAATAGTATGCAGATATTCTTTGTCCCTTTCTGCATGGCACAGCTTATCTGTAAGTGGCATGTCCTGGTCAATGACGAGGGGGCGGGACAGTCATCGTCGACGAATGTAGCCATTTTGAATTTTAACGGGAATGTATGCACGTGAGGGGTCTCTATCGAGGCGGCCGTCGCGGGAAAATAACTTATCATTGGGGGTGAGGACGGCCAAGAAAATCATGCTTGCCCAAGAACAAAAGTCGGGGGTAATGAGAGTGAGAGAGAAGAGCAGGACCGCATGATGATCAGCGGCAGCCTCGATAAACGCAAGTGATGAGCTGATGATATGGTCAGCGGACAAGACGGCAGCGAGAGTTTCTGCCCTTTACGCTTCGGCCGCCGCCGCCTTCGGGAACGGTGCCGAGGAGGAGGAGGGCGGAAGTGAGACGCTTTTGTTCTGTAAGAAACGGAAAGTGAATGGACGATGTTTGAGCCAATCAGAATCTCATTCCTGGTGGCCGTCTGGGTCAAGCCGGGACGAAAGTTCACCTTGTTCAACAAAAGGGGTGGGCGAGAGCTGACTGAGAGTTTTGTACAAAAAAAAATGAGATGGGAGGCAAATGGGCAGATGGCGGCGTTGTCGGCACGACGAAGGCAAACAGGGAAGAAGTCTGAATTACTAGTCATTGACCTCGTTGACTAAAGCTCGGGTCTGGCTCCCGAGAAGCTTAAATAGGTAAGAAACTATAAACATGGCCGTAAAGGGAAGTGAAATGCAGGAACTGATGTCCTGAGGGTGTATCGTAAAACTCTTTGAGCAAGCATTCTTTAGCCGCCCCTTCCTGGTCTTTTACCTCCAAAGAAACAACAATGGATATTCCCGTCTGCAAGGTTTATACACACAATGTACAAGCTTTTTGGGCCCGTCAATTAGCCCCCGAATGTACCGACAGATCCTGATTTCGCGTGTTTCCGCAGAGGCGCGGGTACGGCGGTGTAACTGCTGCGGTCGTATGTACCATAGCGAATCCCTGCCTCGAGGTCGTCGATGCTCTGACGGATGCTCTCACGATAGACGACGTCGTCAACTTCGTAAAGGATCTGACTGTGACGACTGCTCTCGCCCGACGTATTGGTAAGGTGGCTGTCAGGTCGGCCGTCTTCAGCACTGAAGCTGGGCCGGTGCTGACTTGAGGGCTCTGAATTGCTCCTCATGTGTTGAATCTTTGGGCGGCTGAAATTATTGACGGCTTGGCGCCGGGCCATGTCCGACTTTTCCGTCGTCCGACCCCCCGGGGCCCTTCTCCTGTCGGGTGACCTATCAGCGGGGCCTAGACTGGCTTCGTCCAGTTGGATATTGATGGTGTAGACTGAGTGATTCTTCATCACTGCCGGTAACGGCTTGTTCAGCGTCCCTTCGCTAAACCTTTTGGTTGCGGAGGACTTTGAGGGAATTACGTCGAGCTCCTTCACTGCGGGCTCGTTCGACATCTGACTGGTTCTCGCCGAACCGGTGGTGGCCTTGTCGGTGGGTACTGGTTCCGTCGTCGCGCGGGTTTTGCGTGCGTTAGTGCCGAGGAACTTGGGAAGGTATTTGTTGAAGAAGGGTTTTGTAGAGGGAATACTGGTGCAAATGATGCCGAGGAATAGCTCAAGGCAAGATACAAGCCAGTTGATCCAGGCGTTCCACGTGGCATCGGGCTCCGTAGTCATAATCCAGGTGAAGTATGTGCGAGCAACACCGGCAAAGCATGCGAGGAATCCGGCACCAAATAAGAGGTTGACAATGGTAAGTTGTCTTGAGGTGAGCTTGTCGGCATATACAATACGCACGAGGGCGAGGGGTAAGAGAACCACCAGGAAGTCCGTGACGGTATTGATGGTTCCGGCAACGAGAAGATGGGCGGATTCGTTGATGCAGTTCTGCGGCTCCAACGAGAGAGTCCAGTAGAGCTTGAGAGGCCTTGGATATGTCAGTACTGCGCGTCTTCCACCATCAATGGAGAACTTACCGGCACTGCAACATAGCTACCAGCATAAAGACGATGCAGTTGACGGAGATTAGCACCTGAAGTGCTACGACGAGCACCCTCAACTTGTTTGATGCTGCACACGCGATTCTGTACATCAGAGCTAACATGGACAGCTTGGTGAAGCTTGTTGCCAGGTCGAACAGGATCTGGCTGGCGAGGCCGATTTGAAGTGATCCTGTAATAGTTTCTGTAGGCACATCCCAGACATGCCGCCCCCAACCATAGCTGTTCGTAGCTATGACTCCAAGCACCACGAAGCCCGTGGCTGGAATGAAGGCCAGCACGACAAGAATGTCGTCCCAGCCGAACCCATTAGTGATACATCGTCGTGTATAGATCCGGATAGCGAGGATGACGGTGGCGATGGCCAGTAGGATGATGGCAACGATCTCGTTGGCCGGGCCTCTCGTTACTGGGTTGACGAAGTTCGGGGTCGGCCAACTGAGAATGACTTCTACAGGCGGGATTCTCATATCGTAGATGGCGTGAACATCATGGAGAACGGGGAGTTGGCCACGACTATTGCTAAGAAGCGGAGGTGTAGGAGAGGTTTGGGGAGTATCTCCTCCTTATTCCTTCCCTATGCGGCGTCCAAGGTGGTCCGAGTACACGCGGGGATGAAGAGTACACTGGACGAGGGGGGATGGGCAAATCGACTGGATGGGCAAAAAGACGTTTTTTTCAGCGGTGGTGACCGTGCTTGAGCCTAATCAACGGATGAAGGCAATGGCAAAGCATAACTCTGCTTGTGACATCAAGACGGTGATGCGAGCCCCGGCCAATATATCCTTTCGGTCTCGATGGTGGCCATCCCATCCCTGGCACGGCACTGCGGAGAGGGGGAGGGGGAGTGGTGCGAGGAGTGAGTGTTGGCGAGACATTCTCAAGGCCGCACTGACGACTTGAACCGGGGTTCTCACGAGGAACTGGTGGTGTCGTGTCGTGTTGTCTCTCTCAGTGTCCATTGGATATCCACGGGGCGGTGCTGAAAAGGGAATGATGGATGCTACTCCGTTGATCCCACGGCATCTTGGCCGGTTGCAAGTCTGTGTGAGAGAAGCCGGGAAGGCAGTAGACTTCGGCGCCTTGCTTCTTTGCGTAAGTCATCTTCTGCGGCACCGTCGCATCGCTCGTCCAGAGCCGTTATGGGAGAGATCGTCTCCCAGCCCTATTGTTGGTTTTGCAGCTGGAGTGACAAGTCCGTTTCTCCGGCTGAGGAGGCTCAACAGCAGACTAGGCCGTTTGACGCGGCAAACCCAGGCTCAGAGACCGGGGTCATTTGCCGCTAACGCAGCGGAACCAGTTTGAAGCTACCGAGACAGCTTTCGCTTCTAGGTGTCAACAGTGTCAGAATCCTTTCATGATCGTCAGCGTCATGCGCCAGGCCTGCGATCATGAGCATGACATGTCAAGGGAGGCTGTCAGGTTATTTGACAGAACGGGTTGGCCGCTGACAGCTTCATTCGAGCGGTAAGGTGTTTGTTGGCGAGAGCATTCAAACTCAGAAACCGGCCCTGGTCTGAATATCATCATGATGGTGGAGGTGGGCGGCCGGTGGACGTAGCGGAAAGCAGGCTCAAGGTGGGGAAGACAATGTGTTCCTGGATGAGGATCAGAAATGTTTGCATCCAGGATCTGGATTGGCGAGTTGTCTTCGAAGCCGCGCCGCCTTCTCGTTTCTCTTTGGTTACTGTGGTAGAGAACTGTTTGGAGCTTGGCAGGACGCACGGGTTTTGGGTTCGTTATGGCGCATTGACGACCGGGCGAGGGCATGATAAAACCGTACGTGTCTGAGGGTGTTGGACGCCATAGGCCCCAATTCGATTTTCGCCTGTTCGACCTCGACATCCTGGACAGGCCTCTTAATACGGCTAGAGGCAGGCCATCGTGTTCCCAGAGGCTATGCTGCAAGGCCCCCGTGATGCGGCCGCTCTCTGGTATGGTAATCTTGGCCTGTCAGGTTCCGGTCCCTATCACATCGGATCTGGGCGTTCCCATGACTGGTGGCGCCCCAATGCTACCTCGTCTAACGGATGGTGAATGCCAGGGTACGCATGTCATCAAGCGAAGAGGCGGCTTCATATGCAAGCGGATGGAATAGGATGGCGTACTTTGACGTGAAGTCGTTAGCTGGCAAGGAGTTGACAGCAGGTGTTAGTTGCAAGTTGCGACTTCCATTCGGTTCTTGAGCCATGACACACTGCCCCACACCACGGATGATCTTAGTCATCAGCCAGACGACACCTCCCAAGTCACACTCAGCAACTCATATCTCAAGGCCGATTTCAACAGCTCTACTATCCGGTGCTTCTGGGTTCGTCAATCTCGCCACACCCAATGAAACGAACCAGTACCGTTATCTGGATGTCGTATTGCTTCTTCTCGCAGCCACTACGCGCAATAGCTGGGTGGCCAGATTGCTATTTCTGAGCCGTTTCCGAACCACCCCTCGTACGCTGCTGTTTCAACCCGCACACGATGATTGGGGCCCTGGAAGGTCGGCAGCGAATGATGTCGCGAGCGCACAGCTCGGTCCCGGTGTTCCTGTCATTAGCGGGCAACGGAGAAAAACGTCTTCAGCCCTTTCTCCCTCCCGCCCGTCGAGAGCAACCCTCCGTGAAGCCAAGTCCCCCGGTCTGGATCATGGCTGGTGAAGATGCGATTGGGCCCTGAGATCAGGCCGGGGCTGTCAACCCCACGTGTGTCCGGCCTGCCATCAGCTGCGCCTCCCGGAGGCTACCCCTTACTTGACCGACTCAATCATAACGACACTCGACATGGGTTCACTTATACCGCCTGGAGTGCTCACCTATTGTGCGCGAAATCGAGTAGATGACGGGTTCTAGACGGCACTGGACTTCTAGAATGCCCAGGCGTCTCGTATGACAGATTGTGAGAAGACAATGTTTTTCTGACGGGGACTCGCGATATTCATGCCGCCTAGCGCGTGCTCGTGAAACATCGGAAGCATGCTGGAGAGGATGACTCTTGGCAAGACCATCACATCTCAAGTACAGTGTGCTCTATGATATGGCTCGCTCATTCTTGCACCTTACTACGTGCCACCAAAGTGCCATCCGTCTCCCATGTCAGAGGCCACCAGTCTGGTGTGGACTCGTCTAATTCCCAGAAGCTATCTATCCCTTCGACCGCGTGTTATCGGTCCTTTTGCGCCAAGCTGCATCTATTCGAGTTGATGATTGTTTCACTGTTCTAGAAGAGTTCAAGATCTAGGTTATGATTGTACGGTGGATTCTGAGAGATGTAACCGGTATAGCAATAGAAAGATGAAGCGAGGGCATATGCCGAAGCTAGCACTAGACGGAAGCTGAGAGAGGAGGCTCCTGTCTGGAGAGCCTGATACGGAGCAGTATGAATCCATCACGGAGATCGGTGATCGGCTTACACGGCGTTAGATCTGGAAATCGTCTCTTCCATCTGCAAACTCCACGTCAATCCTGCTTCGATGCTGTTCCAATGAACATGAACGCTGCATTACTAGCAGCACTGACCGCTTACTTGCGTAGACGTCAGAAAAGACGGTGAAAGAGGACTAGGTTGGTCTAACGAGTAATGGAAGACTTCCTTCTCATGGAGTTCCTTTTTGGTACGGCGCAATCGAATGCGACGATGTCTTACAGCAGAGACGATTTTAATCATCACTCCGCGGAGACACCACGACGTTGCCAGGATCTGGGAAGGTCCGAGCTGAAGTGGTTCTGGCTAGATGAAGGGATTCTCGATGAGCGCGACGCAAGGAAGTTGAGCACGGCCAACTTCACAGACCGGATCATGCTCCCTTGCCAAGTTTTCTCCCCTCTCATGTCAGGATGCCATCCGGAAACGAAGATCATAAGTCGGGGCAAGTCGACCAAGGCGATCCGTGCTCTACACGGGATGCTGCATGGATAAGACAGTCAAATTTGCAGATTTGTCGATTGGCGACCTTCACTCGGGCTGCGGCTACAGATCATGAATTTGGCATTAGACGAGACACTAACTAGAACTTATCACATCTCCCGGCCTAATGGTCTTGGATCCGGCTGAATCGCGATTGTGAAATATCTGAGACGGCGTCGCGTAGCTTTGCTTTTGATGCCCCGGATCGAAGACGCCAGACTCGCGGTCTCGGGACAGCCAAGAGATTGGGGTGCTTTGACAGCAAGGACTTGCGTGTGGAACTGGTAATTATTATTCGTTTTTTGGTGAGAAGCTAAACCATCGCAGACTTGATTAGACGAAGGGATGGTGAATGCCGAAATTAAGGAGACATGACTATTAAGACAATATACTGAGCATGCGTTCTCAGGCTTCAGTCCAGACCTGCTCTACAATGTACATTTCACCAAACGAAATAGAGCAAGTACACTTGTTGCCCGGGCATCGTGAGCTTGAGTGAATGTGAATGATTGCCACTGACGAGCCGGCATTGCGTCCAACCGAGGAGATTTCTGCCACTTGGCTTTGCCGGGGCTAATGAGAGACGGAGCTCAAGTGGCAGTCGATTCGGAGGAAACAGGGTTCGTAAACAGGCTGGCCGAGGTCCTTGCCTTACAGGAATCTGGCGGATGCATTGTTGGCTCTTTTGGTGCAACATTGACGCCTCGATCGACAGCCTGTATGATCGCAAGTTCACTGAAGGAAGAGAGGTCCGGGGTCGTCAATCTCAAGTCGTTCATGAAGAAACATCTTTGGCTGGTTCTTACTCTACAATGACGGGTTGTCCAGACTAAACTAACCCTATCTTTGCTGACTTATGCGATCAAGGCAGCCGTCGTTCTCTGCCGCTATTTACCTGGGAGCTAGCGGACATCCGATTGGTCTATCAAATGAGAGACTCGGCGACCCTGGGGATGAAAGGAAGCGAACGGTCCGACTGGGCACGAAAACTGTTGAGGGGCGGTCGATGTTGGAGGATGGTCTCAGCCCACAGTAGACGGACGCTCAGGTCACTTGGGCAACTTTGGATGCTGCACTGAGGTTGAGTGCGGGGCAGCTGCAGGCTCCGGGTCAGACCGGGGGCCGCTGAGGACCCCACCAGAACTGCTGATTGTGTGCTGCCAGCCTGCTGCTGTTGCTGCCATGGGCTCGGCCTGCCAGCGGCGGCACTCTGGCGGCACTCTCGAGGTGGGCAGCCGTGATTCCAGTTGCCCCTCCTGCGCAGCCCCTCTGCCCCTCCATGAGACAAGCGCAGCCCACCTTGCACTGGAGCTTTTGACGTGACCCAACCCTGAGGTCTTTTCCATGACTACGAAGCTCTCCGAATCTATCCTGCGTCATTTACACCCAAGTCTTTGATCTGATCTTTAACTCCTGACGGAAACTCAGACATACTCAATCCTACCAAACCTCCCACGTATCACCAAATCACCACCAATTGCCCAACATGGCTCGCAAGTTCTTCGTCGGCGGCAACTTCAAGATGTAAGTTTCGTCCCATTGGCGGGGTCGACGATCTCTGCACCACCCTACCGGAGAGGGGCAGCCTGGAAGCTGCGGCTTCAGCCAAAACATCGTGAGACTAATGACCATCGACCCTGTAGGAACGGATCTATTTCCGCCATCAAGGAGATTGTCCAGAACCTGAACAACGCCACCCTCGACTCCAACACCGGTACGTGCCATGTCTTTGCAGTCCTGTCCCGCCGTTGAGCTCCTCTGACAGTCTGCAGAGGTCGTCGTCTCCCCTCCTGCCATCTACCTCCAGCTCGTCCGCGACCAGCTCCGCAAGGACGTCGAGGTTGCCGCCCAGAACGTCTTCGACAAGCCCAACGGTGCCTTCACCGGCGAGATCAGCGTCTCCCAGCTCAAGGATAGCAACATCAACTGGGCCATCCTCGGCCACTCTGAGCGCCGCACCATCCTTCGCGAGTCCGACGAGGTCGTTGCCTCCAAGACCAAGTACGCCACCGAGAACGGCGTCGGCGCCATCTGGTGCTGCGGTGAGAGCCTCGAGGAGCGCGAGGCCGGCACCACCGTCGAGGTCGTCAGCAAGCAGCTTGCTGCCCTCAAGGCCGCCATCTCCGACTGGTCCAAGGTCGTCATTGCCTACGAGCCCATCTGGGCCATCGGCACCGGCAAGGTCGCCACCAACGACCAGGCCCAGGAGGTCCACGCCGCCATCCGCGCCTGGCTCAAGAAGGAGGTCAGCGACAAGGTTGCTGACGAGACCCGCATCCTCTACGGCGGCAGTGTCAACGAGAAGAACTGCAAGGACCTCGCCAAGGAGAAGGACATTGACGGTTTCTTGGTCGGCGGTGCCTCCCTGAAGCCTGGCTGTGAGTGTTTTCGATGCACCCTCATCATGGACAGACAGCTAACATGGCCCAGTCGTCGACATTGTCAACGCCAAGCAGTAAACAAACCAGATTACAAACTTGATGATGATGACCTAAAATCAGGCCGTGATGGGCCGGGATAGACCCAGGATGACCCCCAAGTGACCATTCGTAGTCGCCAACTCCTAGGGCCGTAGACTTGAATAAAAAGAATTATACCCCCACCCCCCCCAAATCTTCTGAAGGTGGTTGGACCTGGTGAAATGTTTGTGATTCTTGAATTTTGAGTGCTTAAAGGGGTACTCTTTGCCCTCCCTGACGGGTCAATGTATGGTACACGCGGCAGAGAAGCTCCCGCTTTCGTCCTGTACACGCCTAGTCCCTTTCGTAATTTTACACATTTTTCCAAATCGATACGCTCATGCCTCTCATGTTTATACAGCCATGCCATTTCCGTGGTAAGGACTCCAGACACCTCTGACACTGGGGTTGATACTGTTGACCGGTTTGTTGACTCTCTTCAACTTCTCTCCGTTGGCGTCGCGCAGAAGCTCAGCCTTCTTCAAGATCTCGATTGGCTCCATATTCCGAACGCAAATGGCCTTTTCGCGGCCATTGATGTAGTGGCCGACAATGATGGGGTGTTTCGACGGACGGGGCGATACGGTGAACTCGACTTGGGGGTTTGCGGCGGCGAACTTGGGAAGCTGAGACTTGATGAAGCCGCTGAGTGACCGTTAGCGATGTTCTCAAGACTTTCCTTCCGAGGGCGAATTGGCGTACTTCATTCCCTTGGAGCTGCCGGCCCAGTCGCAGTAGTGAAAGTCCAGCTTCTTGCACTGGAGGATGAAAGAGCCCAGGCCATTCTGGTAGTGCGTCAGCAATGGGATCGCAGTATATTCGTCTCCTGAATAACCTACACGGCCGGTCGACACCGTCTTCAATGCTCTGATCGTCATGGTATCCTGCTTGGCGCACACAATCCGGATCGCAGTCTGGATCACGAGAGGCTCCTTTCCAGGGACGGGGAAATTTCTTAGCGCGAAAATGTAGGATGCAGCCTGAGGTGACAGCTTCCGGAGGTACGTACCTGCCTGCACTCGAAGCTCCCGTCTGTGACCAGGATGACTCGGCTGAACCGCGGCGATTGGCCAAAGGCAGGCTGCACCACAAACTTTCCCATGCTCGTGTCAATTTCATCTACTTTACCTTACCTGACGACGCGCCTGCTCCCTTTCCAAATCCCGACATCCCACCAAGCTCCGTCGATGCATCATTAGCTACGGCGCGACGCATCCCATCCGACCCGACAAACGTTCTTTGAATCGGGCATTTGACGAAGAGCAACTACAGCGATGACGGATAAGCTCCCTCCTAACCTGTTGGCGCTCTTCGCGCCGCGCCCTCCTCTGCGATGGGTTGCGCCGCCCGACCATGCGCCCGAGGCCCGACGAACCCTCCCCGTCTCTGGACTCGCCGAATTCCTTCCCGCGCTCCAGCAGTATAAGGAGGAGGACGACTACAAGCCGACAGAAAGTTGGCTTCAGATGCGCGACCGCAAGAAGCTTGAGAAGCAGGCAGCTGTTGAGAAGCTCAAGGCCGAGGGGCCGAAAGACTGTTAGTTCTGCCAGTCTTCATTTATCGAGAATCTATGCTGATGGTTTCGCAATCTAGTCAAGCCGCATGAGGATCCCAACATTCGTGGCGACGCGTTCAAGACGCTCATTGTTGCGCGACTCTCGTACGAGGCAAATGAGCAAGACCTCGAGAGGGAGTTTGGTCGATTCGGCCCCATTGAGCGCGTATGTACTCCCGAATACTTTTTCATACTTTGACTTTAGCTAACATTTGTACAGATTCGCATCATCACTGACACGCATGCCCATGAGAGACCCAAGAAGAAGAAGAAGCCCCACCGAGGATACGCTTTTGTAGTATTTGAACGAGAGAAAGACATGAGAGGTAATACCGCCGAACCCACCCCCTCCGACAAGACTCGGCTTGTCTGCCAGTCGTTCCCCTTCAGGCGCGCGGCCCTCAGGCTTGCCCGCGTTCTGCACTGCACACCGAGATCTGTGGCCCTCAAGCTTGCCCGTCTCAAATCTTGTTTTTCCTTCTTTTTACCCAGTCACGATGCAAAGGTATGATATCGTCAAGGTTTTACTGACACACGCGCCTTGGCGCACTGGTGAGTAGCTGCTCTAGATGCCTGCGATGGTATTCGAATCAAAGACCGACGTATCAAGGTAGACGTCGAGAGGGGCCGCACTGTCAAGGGCTGGGTGCCCCGCCGATTTGGCGGTGGCCTCGGTGGCAGAGGTTACACCAAGGCTCTTCCTGCCCGTCCCATGGGTGGCGGACCTGGTGGCAACTTTGGCGGTGGCTTCCGAGGCGGTTTCCGTGGCGGCTTCGAGGGAGGTCGCGGACGTGGAGGTTTCAGGGGAGGCGGTGGAGGTTTCGGTGGCCGTGGTGGCTTCCGTGGCGGCGGCGACTTCGGTTCCAGGGTTGGTGACCGCGGACCGAACGGATACGGCGCACCCAGAGACGCCCCCTCAGGACCTGGTCGCGGCTTCGGAGGTGATCGTGGTGACCGAGGCGACCGCAGCTTCTCCGGTGGTGGGTATGACCGTGGTGGTGGCCGCTCATATGACGACAGATCCGGTGGCGGCGGCGGCGGCGGCGGCTATCGCGATGGAGGCCGCTTTGGTGATCGGGACCGTGACGGTGGCCGACGTACTGGAAGCAACATGGAACCCATCAGGCCTAGAGGGGAAGGTGGGTATCGCGACCGTGGTGACCGCGGAGACCGAGGCGACAGAGAGGACCGGGACCGCGGCCGAGACAGAGACAGAGATTACGACCGACCTCGCGATGACGACAGTAGAAAACGCGGCTACGAGGGCGGTGGTTACGAGGATCCGCGCAAGTTGCGTCGTTACTGACGAGACACCTAGTGTCTTGCGGTGGGTGACGATTAGCTCGTCTCATCTTTCAGTCTCTTTTCTTCTTCCCCTTCTCTCTTGAGGGTAAGCAGAAGGTTTCAAGCGCGAATTTCAAGTACCTCCATATTCGGACCAAAGAAAACTCGGACAAAGCTCGAATGCAAGCTTGGGGCAAGTATACGCAATTACCAGGCAGGCCGGCAGTGTTCACAACAAATCACCATGCGAACCATCAACTTCCAAACAAAACTTATTCAGCATCTTGTTGAAGGTAAATTCCGCCACGTGCATACACAACCTGTCCAGGCGACGACTGCCGTAACAAGGAACCCAGACAATGGCTCGATGCTGCAGGTAAGGTCAGAGGTAAGGGACTCTGTGCCTACTGACCTGGAGCTTAGTGAAGGAGGATTCGCATGGGAAAACAAACAAAAAGTATGGGGTAAATCCGCATGTACCACGTTATAATTACTTGTACCAATAGGTGAGGACTTTTAGTTTCTTACGCAGACAGATCAGACGTTGTATCCATACCTAAGCTTGATATCATCCGGCTGTTCGAGTTGTATCTTGTCGTTGCCGAGAGAGCATATCCTCGTTCCAGAAGTGCCATGTGTAAAAGATGCTGCCTCCTCAATGGACGAAAAACAAAGGCCCGGTCTATCGAAAAGTTGTCTCGAACTCGGGACCTATCGAAATCTTAAGAGTATTCCATCCGTTATACAGGTACCTCATCGCGCGAGCGTGTCACGGCGTAAGCATCGGCAGGCACCAAGAATTATATGACGCAACATGTCCAAAAAACGAACTACCCATGGCATTATGTAGAGCCAGCCCGGCCTGCTCCTCGCCAATCTGAATGGGAAGGGACAGTTAAACCGTTCGGCTATCGACTACAACGGATGATGCTCGTTGAGGAAGCACCGCACTTTCGCTCCCTATCAAGGTTCGACGTCTATCCAGAACTTTTTTTTGCTTCCATGTCATATCACCTTCGTCAAGGATGACACAGAGGAAAAACATTTTGAGTGGAAGATATTGATGCTTTGACGCATAACTTTTTTCAAGGAATAATAATCTAGTAGAAACCCCCGCCCGTAAAACGCCGTGAAAATTGTTTTTGTTGGTCCCACCCTTTCGCAATCCATGATGGTATCAAGCCTACATGAGGAAAGCAATCATCAAAAGTCTAGAAGCTTTTTTATCTTTTTTTACGTTTGTTCATACCATTTTGGCTCTTAGTCGCTCTCGACCTCGACGCCGTCCATGGCGTTGGGGTTCACTTCGGTCACCTCGCCTGAAGCAGAGCTCCAGTATCTGCGTACACACGTCAGTACTCATACTCTTTGACCTGTAGGGGGATCTCAAATCCAGGAGGGACCCAAAAAGAAAAGAAAAAAAACTTACGCAAGAACCTTGACCTTGAACTCGCTCAAGCAGATGCCAAACAGCTTCAACAGCCTCGTCTGCCGACTGTCGAGCACATCGCCCTCCTTGCAGACGGTGTACCCCTCGCCCTCGCCAGAGTCGTCGCCGCCGAGGCAGACGCGGCCCTTGACCATGCGCGTGGGCATGCCGAGGCGTCGCAGCTCGGGCTCGATGCTGTGCTCCATGGGGACGTCGTGCTCGGCGGGCACCTCGCCGCCCGTGGCGTAGACGACGCCGGCGGGGATGACGAAGTCGCGGGTGGCGACGGTTCCCGCGCGCGCGAAGTCGACGGGGGAGACGCCGTCAAAGTACTCGAGGATGGAGGCCGGGTCGCGGTTGGTGAAGATGAGGCCGACGGTGCCGGCGAGGAAGGGGGTGAGGCGCTCGATGCCGTCTGCGACGGCGGAGGAGGGGTCTTGGCCTAGGGCCTTGGCCATGAGTTTTGTCTTGCCGAAGAAGAGTCTGGTAGGTGGCAAGGCAGGTTAGCTTGGTGGTTCCGGATAGGGGCGGCTCATGTATGAGCCAGTGTATTCTGCCATGGTGCACGACCATAGGTGTGATATCACGGGTTGAGTAGACTTGGAGAGAAGCTGCAAAAAGAACGGACCTGCAGTCGTTGAGCTCGTGGCGGACCTCCTTGAGGTAGTTGTTGCGCATGTTGTTGACGCCAAAGACGAAGCAGTGCTGGTACTGCGGCACCGACTCGCGGATGTTGGAAAAGAGCTTGTCCTTCTGCTCGCGCGTCTTCTTGTTCACCTGGGTCAGGTTGACCACTCTGTTGCGCTTTGACTTGGGCATCTTGGCGGTTTGTGCTGGTCTGTTGACTTCGATTAAACAATTGGCAAATATCCCCTGATTCGGCTTGTCCTTGATAGTTGCAGGACGGCTCGGCGAGGTACTTGGTCGAATCCGAGAGGGTGGTTGGTGGAAATCGGCGCAAGTCAAGTCGTCGAGGTTTCGCGGTGCACCTTACAATGGGAAATATTTCTGGCCGACCGCCTTTGGCACAAAATTTCCCAAAATTTTGGCGCCCGGGTGCAGGAGGGACCACCGCCGCCGCAACTTTTTTTTGAACCCCGCAATGCGCTAGGTGGAACGATTATCCGCAGGGTCCCGACAGGGGTCATCCACAGTCACCGAGCTCACCGAGTATAGATGGAGTGGTCAGTGCGCCGGTGAAGGCAGTGTATTAGAGCCAACTCAAATTGCATTGTTCCATGAAAACGCCGGTTTCCCAACCATCCAGCGTCTCTTTCATTCAGTTCATGTATGTCTATGGACATATCGACCATGCCATCTACTTGTCTTACCAGCGTGCTCTTGCGCCCTGGGTACGAACGAGTCACGCAATGCCAACTACCTACGCCAGGTACGTGTAAGTGTTGCCCTCACGTTCCAAGTAATCCTTGTCAATCAGGCTATGAGAGTGTTAGCAACGCTTCGTTCCGCCAACGACACGGAAGTCACTTACTTTTCTATTTCCTTCTTGATTTGCGCCGCATCAACCGCACCTCGGTTCTTGGTCAAGTTGATCACCTCCGCAACCAGCTCGCCGTGGCTCATCTCCTTGCGACTCTTCATGATGCGCACAATGGCTGCCTGTGTTTCGAACCGTCTGTCCTGAGCGATACGCTCGTGCGTCGCCTTGTTCTCTTCCTTGGTCTCCTTGAGCTGAATCTGGTTGATCTTGACTCGGATCTTTGGGTGTATAAATGCCTTGTTAATGGTGAACGTATCCGTCGGGTTGACGTCCCTCCCCTTGGGACTCTTCGTAAGCACGCGAACCTGGCCGCAGGCGAGAGATTGCAGTGTTCGGTTCAGTTCTTCTCCTTGCAGGTTTGTCGAGCGAGCGATCTGTTCGTAGCCGAGGAAGCCCTCGATGCCGACCTCATTGAAGAGAACGAGGATGATGGCTTGGTACGCGCTGACGAGAAGCTCCTTTGTACCCTTGGGGAACTTGGCCTTGACCGTGCAATGCGCCAGTGCGTGCTTCCAGTTGAGTAGCCGGCCCGTGTGCTTGTTCTTATAATACTGGTCGAATCGCTCAATCTGCTTGGCAACGTCGTCTGGCAAGTGCACCTTGACGTCGGGATACGTTGGCCAGGCCGCCTGTGACAGGATCATTACCGACAGATCGACAGGGGCTCTATCCACGCCGGTGCCTTCCGACCACTGCTTGTAGGCTTCCATTTCCTCCTTGGCCACCTCGACATCCTTGAACATCTGCTCCAGGTTGTGAGTAAAGTTCATACCACACTCCTCGCGGAGCTTCCGCAGCATGTTCCGCTCGGCATCCTGACTTGCGCTTCTACCCATGAGCAGACGGCGAGCCAAGTCTTTCTTGTAGAACGCTTCGAACGCGTCCTTGCCTTCAATGAAACGGAAGAGCTCCAGTGCCTGGTCCAATTGCCGGTCGAGCTCAGCGTCTTCGTCGCCGGCGCTCGCTATGCCGCTCTGCTCTGCCGCAGCTCGGTCAATGTTATCTGACAAAAGTGTTTTCGGCAAAGCCTTGATTCCACCGCGAAGCAGCATGTCGACATACTTTGCGATCATCTCGCCGACCTTGGATGTTCCGCAGCTCCACGTCGTTGCAATGCTGCGATCGTTCATAAAATCTCCAAAAGCATTCCTGAGCTCGTTGACAAAGTCTTGGTCGCCGCCATAGGCGTCGCGCACAATGAGGCTTAGTGACCTCTTAAGTTCAAGAAGCCTCTGGACCATGTCGTCGCCGCGCTCCTTGTCAGCAACAATGGCAGCACCCGTCTTCTTGATATATGTGCTCCAGGGCTGCTTGAGCTTCTTCTGTATATCGGACAGTCGCAATAAATCATATAGGGCCTTCATGGAGTCTACCTCATGGTCGGAGAGGAGCTTGGAAAGACTCTCACTGTTGAGAAGCTTGTCGGAATACTTGTTCACAAGGATGCCGTGCGCGGCGTCGAGCAGCTGCTTCTTGGTTGTAGAGTCCAAGTTGTACTCGTTGCAGCGGTAGTCCTCCTTCTTCAGCAGCCACTCGCACGCCGAGATATACTCCTTCAGGCTTGACGCGCTCCTTTCCTCTGCGAAGTCCTCAAAGAACGTCTCTGATAGCTCGATGAATCGGGGCTCGAAGTATTTGGTGTAAATGTTGAACACGTGTAGCATCATGACCGAGTCCTTGAGCAATGCCGCTTCGAACCGCTCGTCCCCTGTCCGGTCGTACGAGATCAGGTCGTACATGCCCCGTAACGCCCTGCCACCGGGCGTCTGACCATCTGGGTCGTCGCGAGCGGGGAACGCCATCCTCCTGAACTGTGAAATGGTCAAGTCGTTGATGGAAAGGTAATTCTTATTCTTTAGAAGGTAGGTACGATCAAGGTAAGTGAACGTGGACCGGATCGTCATCTGTGTCGCGCGTTAATGCCAAGCCAGGGCGTAGAAATCACCTTGTAGACTCACAATCTGGCCATTCCACACCCTCCAGTGCTCGAGGACGCTCTTAAGCATGTCTACATCGGTGCTGCCAGCTCGGGACTTGATTGACCGTAGTACATCTTGGGTGAGGTGCTCCTCGCACTTTCGCCGCAAGGTCTCGTACAGCTGCAAGTCGCTGTCTTGGCCGCGCCTGCATATATCTTCCACGGCCCGAGATAGCCTCTCTAACGGTAGCTTTGGCTTGCGCCCGCTGAATATCTCGTGCAAAGCATCGACCAGTTCTTGCTCGGTCCGTTCGTAGTACTTTTCCAGCTTCTCGTTGGTCGCCGAGTGTCGAAAGTTCTTGATGACCAGCTTCTTCGCACCCGTATATGGCCGGTACGAGTTGGACTGCGTCAGGTCAATGACCTCGGGCAGCTTGCCCTTCATCTTGGTAGACATGGTATTGTGAGAGGAAGGATCGTCGGCGCCAAACTTGAAGCGCTTCGGGCTCGGTCTGTTGGACTGCTGCTGGTGCGGGGCGACGGAACCGGAGCGCGAGACGTCGGAATCTTGGCGGGGTCTTCGGCGTAGGGGGTTATGGTTGTCGTTGACCGGCGCTGCGCCGCCTGTCCTTCCCGTCGCCCGTGATGGCAAAACTCCCTCGACTGCGGGGGGTGAATTCGACGGCATGGACCGTGTGGCCCTGCAACAACTTTTGTCCAAGCTGTTACAGATGTACTATGCGCTCTCGTGGAGATGAGATGGTGTGGGCAGGGCGGGGTGGCCAGGGTGAAATCGCAGGCGGTAATCTTCCTTTTGAACGAATTGTCGGGTGTTTGCAGAGAAGCTTGTCGCAGAGAGGTTGGGGAGTACAAAAGTCGTGATTGCGGGAGAGTTGTCGCGGAGTTAAACGCGGAGCTATGGACGCCATTAACAAATCACCACCGCCACGGTCGTTAGCATCATCCATTTAGCACGTCCCCTTATCGTCAGTGACAGGGATTGGATAAGACATGGACCCCACCGCACTTCTCGTCATCACGTCAAACAGTCCCACCACAGTAAACACCCGATCCCATTGTCCCCGGGCACTCCACAATACCTATCCTTCACTCAAGTCTGAAGCTGCCTTGGCAAGCGGGTGACAGAATAGGATGCTAGTTGACAAGATTACAACGCCTACTTGCCTGCTTAATTCATCTAATATTCTTATTCTTTTTATTGTTTCTAGCATTTCTACTATCATTGTTATCTTCTATATATTCATCAGGGAATACTCGTCTACTATTTTGTTATTATTATTATCTTCTACACATTCATTAGGGAATACTCTTTGAGAAATGAATAGGAATAGGGATAATAGGCACATAGATTATAGAAAAAGAGCCTGGGGGGGGTATAGATGGAGCGGCAATCGGATTACGCCCACTTGCTTGGGCAAGATACCGTATTAGAAGAGATTACTATGTAGTCGCCTATCCAGTACAACATTTAGTAGACGTCACGATAGCGTACTTTTCGGATACCATTTGTGTCAGTCTTTATGCACCCCTCTTCTTGCTCTTGAACAGGCACAGAGATGTAGAGGCGCAGGCGTGATCGCCTCTTCGATTTCATTATCTATGCATACGCTGCCCATCCCGAGTAGAGGACGGCAAGATTACTTATGTCAGTCGCTTGGTTAATCAGGTCGTTGACCGTCGCTGTTACGCTCAACGTCGTTGACAGCTTCCCTCGTACCACCTCCAAAGCCCGGTTAGCCTCCGACGGCTCGTTGACCTGCTGCCCCTTCTTACCCTTACCACCACCGTCTTCATCACCTTCGTCGTCGTCCCTGTTGTAATCGTCTCCTTGTACTTCTCTCTGTAGTTTTGCCAGTCGGACTGGAGAAATGGACCATGAGTACAAAGGATCGTAACGAAGGACGTCGAGTATCGTCATGATCGAGTATGTCTCCTCCCGCAAGGCGTGTAGTGTGAACTCGCAGCAGCGCCGGAAGACGCCCTCAGTCCCAGTGATGCCCATTCCGTCCACAATGTCTCGTGTCAGCCGGAACGGGACGAGTTCTGGCACGGGAAGGATGCGACCCATCTCGAATGCGACACCAAGATCGATATGCACGACCTCCCCCGTCTTGCTATCTAGCAGAATGTTGTGGCCGTGCCTGTCGCCGAGACCGAGCACGTGGCCAAGCATTGAAATAGCTGCAGTTGTACGCGTGTATGCGAGGCGCTTGGCAAACCACTCGTCAGGATCGACAAAATTCTCCATGAAGAAGTATTTCATCACGGGATGGAACTTGTCTATGACCTTCCTATAAGCGGTAATCCGATGCTCGACAGTCTTGCCTTGCGCATTCGAAATGTCTTTCCTGCATTGAGAGCCTTTGAGGTCCTTGGGAAAGTACCTCTCGTGGGCTGGCATAAGAAAATCGTGCAATGGAATGGTATTGGGGACAAACTCGATCAGCCCAGATGCCGATGTGAGAGGAAGGACCTTGTACGTGCGGATCCCAAGGTTTCTCTGCTGTGCCGAGCGATGCAGTTTGAGAAGATCCGAAACGGCCGCAAAGACCTGCTCCATGATGGCGTCTTGACGGAGATCGTCGTTGCCGCCCTTGACAAGTTGTCGGTATTTCTTGCCATCACTCCCGACTGCCGTAATGATCTTTGGCGCGCTGACTCCAGACGCAATCGACATCTGCGGGTCTAACTTTGAGATGATGGGGACATTCGAGTAGTCCATGGTCGCTGACACCTCGAGCTGCATGGTCGGAGGCGGGATCTTGTACTTGGCCAGCGCATTTTGAAGCGATTGGGCCGAGTGAACGTCCTTGAGCGCCATCTTTTGTCCAGCCTTGAACTTGTTAGAATCTCGGTCGACAGCCAGGCGATGGTAGTAAGAGCTCGTCCTATCGATCGCTTGCCAGATTGCCGCGACAGGCTTGGCAGACTGCAGCAGCGATGCCACCTTCTCCGTGGCTTTGAGTCTTAGGACTGCCACTTGATCCTCTTTGCGGGTCTTCACCTTTGTGCCTGACCAGATCTGGTACATGCCATGGTATGGATGCTGCAGACAAATTTTGTAGACGAGCTGAATCAGGAGCTTCTGGAAAGGCGAGCTCGGCTGATCCTGTAGTCTAGAAGACAGCTGGTTCATCAGCGTTGCAAACTTTCTCGTGGGCGTCTTGTCGAGGTGTTTCTTGACGGCCTCGTTGGTCTCTGGCTCCTCGGAACGCTCCAGCCAGAGAGCTGTGAAACGTAACGCATCGTTATTATGCTCATCAGAGGCGGTCAGTGAAAGGAGATAGTTTTCCAGGCTGAGCCGCACAAATTCGCCTCTCGTCTGCTCCATGCGACGGAGCTTCTGCTCGTCCAGTCCTAGCCATAGTCGAGCGCGATTCAAGTGACCCTGGTATCTTTGTTTGAGATGGGGATCGCGGGTGCTCGATATGAGGTCCTGAAGTTGAGAGACTTCGTCACTCTTGCCCTCCCGCAGGGTCTGCAGCCTGGCAAGATCCTTCAAACTGTCTTGGTCTTGCAACTGCTCGTCACAGAACATGGCGAACTGATGGTAGACATGTCCAGCTTGCTGTCCCTGGCTGTTCCCTTTGAGATCTTTGAGAGCGGGTTCGAGGTAGTTTTTCTGGATGTCATGAGGGTTCTCTAATTTGGCTACCGACACCTGGTAGCCAATTTTCGACAGGAGATCTGAGCGGCTCACTGGAATTGTCTGCTTCTTGAGGGACGAGTCGCTATCGATACTTTGCAATATGCGAATGGAGGGGATCATTTCCCCGTGGTCCCACAGTGAGTTGGCTGTCTCAATGTTGATGGCGGCATCCACCTTAACGCCTAACTCGTCGCATGTACCGATCAAGCCGACAAGTGACGTGGCGAGTTTCAGACACTCTTGCGTTGCCTGATGGAAGCGGTATATCCCCGAGGACATCAGCATGCATCGGATCTCGATTTGTCTGGCCTCGACTGTTGTCAAGGCCTGGGCGCGAAGCTTGGGCTTCTGTCTGATCAAGCTCAATGATGTCCGTCTGCAAGAAAGTAGGTGGCTGACATCTTCGTACCTATGGTTTGTCAGTTTGACCGTTTTCGCGCAGGTATATTCAGTGAGCAGAGGCAGCGGGAGATCGGAGATCCGAGCAGAAAAGGCAATGGTGAAGGCAATAGAGGCAATGTAGGAGGATGAAGAAATATAGGGGGGGGGGGACCCAAGGTTTTACATACCTTCCGCGCCTCATCCACTGGCCATGTCGTTCGAACTTGCCAAGCATGCTCTCCAGCTCAGAAAAGTCAGCCACGTTGGCAATATCATCAAGCTCGGTCAAGACTGCGAGAGCGCCGAGATGCTGCCGAAGGCTGGCTGCATTCAGGCCACGATTGACAAGACTGCGCATGGTCTGGCTGAAGCCGGCACAGATGGCATTGCGCACAGAAAGCGTGTCAGTGGCTTGTTGGACATTCTGATACGCCTTGTAAATGGTTACGGCACAATTTTCGGCGGTTGATGGGACAGGGAGATTCCATAGCTCCAGTCGGCGTGCTGTCTGGAAAGTGTCCTCCAAGGATGCTTCATCTCCGTCGTGGCTCTGTTTCGTCTGTAACAAGGAATGAGAGAGACCCGCCAGACCCAAAGTGCCGAGAGCTCTGACAAGACATTGGCTATCCACCTGTGATGCGGGGTCTCTTGTCAGGATGTGTTCGTCGTACTGGGCTCCTCGGAAAAGCAAGGTCTTGGAGCCGTCCTTCTCGTAGTCCAATCGAGCCAATACACTTGATAAATCAGCGGACTGTGGGAGGCCATAGTACGCATCAGGATCGTCAATGTTCTCAAAAATCGAAAGAAGGACTTCAGTGGAATCGTTCTCACGGATCGCAGACGATCGCCTAGACGAGCGAACTGTCTGAGAGGCGGCAACCTCCGTGAACAGCAAGGCGGTCTTATACATACCGCAACGCGAGGCGGCAGCGGCAGCGGCAGCGAAGTCGACATCGAGCCACAATACCCGGTCTGCGATGGATGTCTCCTGAGGAATGGACTGTGTTCTGAGGTATAGTATTGTGTTGATCAGCTGCTTCTGGTTCGTCCGCGCAGCATCATCCTCGATCTTCAGCCACTCTTTGGCGGCTTCCGACAAGTTGCGCTTGATGTGGGGTTGCTTATCCAGTTGACTGTATAAGGCCAGGTGGACGATGAATGGAAATGCATCTTGGGCAAAACCCTTGACGTTCTTGAGAATTGGCACCAGCGCGCTTAGGACAATGTACTCGGAAACCGACTGCGAAAGGTAAACAGCGAGCTGTTGAACCCAATCAGAACTCTCCACATGATGCCGGAAGAAGACCTGCGAATCAGGAACAATCGGGGACAGGACAAAGTCGGAAGGAGGCGTGCGATATTGAGCCCAAGCGGAGGCCAAGTACAAGGATTCTGTCAAGGTCTGCTGGGCGGCAGAGACTAACGCGCCGTCCTCCTGCGCTGCTGCTTCTGATACGACTGCCCTCAAAGCCGATTCGGCCAAGCCTCCGATGGCAGATTCTTTGCTCTGAGTAAGTTGTTGCAGTAAACTCAGCAGTCCCTTCTCGGAGTCATTAGCTCCTGGTGCAATTCTGCTGTACTTTGATAGCTCGGACTCTTCCAGAAGTTCGGCTTGAATTTCTCCTGAAGCGGCGAAAGATCTGCCCATAACGCGGCCTGCCCAGGCGAGATATTCGTCACTGAGAGCTAACGCATTGCAGCTCTTCCACACAAGTCCGGTGTGCCGCAGGGCCTCGTCGTCGTCGGAAATCACATCTTGACGACCTGTGGTGGGCACAGCGAAATCTCCACACAATAAACCGAGTGCTAGATCACGAGCTGCCTCGTTCAGAAGCTTCGACTCGCGTTCGCCATCCCTGAGAATCTCCATCAGCAGAGTGCTCTCGTGCGTGCCCTTCTCGGCGTTTCCTGAAGATCGAATTTTGGATGCAGACTGGGTAATCAGTCGGAATGCCTCCCGTTGCTGCTCATCGGCAAAATTGTTCGAGTCGTAGCCAGTGAGATAGGAACTAAACCATGAGTGGAAAGTCTGGGCTTTGCTCATGGTCGCCTTGAATTGACTTTCTTGGGTTGTACTTGACTGAGTGGACTCGAGGAAAACTCTGAGAGATGCTAGAGTAGACAAGGCGTAACCAGCGAGAAAGGTCGGGGTTTGCTCGAGATGGTAAGCCCCTTTCGTGATGAGATACCGACTCACACCAAGTGCATCGTCGGCACATTCCGAGTCCACAATGAACGGCCGGACGGACGAAAGTAGCATTTCCAGAGGATAAGCTTCCAACGCACCAGGGCCGGCAAGAGCAATCAAAACTCTGACCTTGCGCAGCACGGAGCAGGCGTGAAACGAGCCCAAGGCAGGGTGGACAGTATTGAAAATTCTCCGGGCGACCGAGACGACCAAAGCCGGTGTCCATAGCTCTTGTAGCTCGTACTCCGTAAGGCGACACACATGAAACAGCTCTCTGGTGAGGTATTTGGCCCTGAACATGGGTTGTTGATTAGGCGGTAGGGCGGTTGTCGACTGAGAGAAATGCTTCATCTCGTCCAGTGCCTCACAGGCGTATTCAAAGCTCTTGTCTCTAGAGAGATGCTTCTCGATGGGGTCTTCTTGGTCGAAAAGATCCAGCAACAGGGCGACAATGTCGGCAAAATTCAAATAAATTTGATCGAGGAATGGTTCGTTACCCAAAAGCGTCCGCACCCACGTCTCGCCGGTTTCGACTTTTTCGCCTTTAGAGGTGGGCGTGCTGAGCTCATGTGCGATCGTGTATGCCATGATCTTTGTGAATCCTTGCGTCACCATGTCGACCAGGGAGGTACCCAGGCGCTGGGAAAGAGACTCGACGTCTTTGTAGCGACGTCGCATTATCTGCAACGCTGTCGTCTCGGTCTGCGCTTCCTGTAGAAGGCCATCAAGAGTTGGGAAGCCAAAAATCTCATATGGTATGTCCTCGATTTTGTTGATGGCTGGGCCGTTCTCGTCGTTTTCGGGGGACGCAAGCCATGTGTATAGCAGCTGGGGGCTGAATATTCTGAATAACTCCTGAGAAGACGACAGACAAAGGGCTTCCGAAACCGTTTCCAGGCATCGTTTGGCATACTGACTGGACTGCATGATATTCCCCGGCGTCTCGAAGATGTGATACGTGCATCTTCTGAGCAGGGTTGGCCAGCGGCATGCGAGCTGGGACAGCACAAAAAGGCGGAACGCGATGCCTTCGAGGTCTTGGGAGTTGGTAGGAAGACTGTTCAGAACGTCAAGAAAGATATCGTCATGCATCTTGAGTACGTAGGAGCCGAATACGTCCGGCAAAGCGGACCCGATGAAGAACTTGACGGGCAACGTGCCGCTTTGCATGATGGACAGTAAAGTCGTTCGACAAGAGTCTAAGCCGAGATTGCTGCCATACTGTGGGTTGGTCCTCAAAAGCGCAAGCAGCAAGCTCGAGAGAGACATCTGCGACAATGGGGAAAGGAGGTTATTGGGCAGATATTTGCTGACAAAGTGATGGTACAAGTCGCCGAACATTTTGGCCACGGGCTGTTGGTCGTCCTTATAGACCGGCATGAGGCTTTGCAGAATCCTCAAGCTGGTCGAGTGCGCTACTTCGCAACAAGAGTATTCGGGCTCACCCATGATGTCGCCTGTTCTTTCAACGACACCGATCGCATCTTCTTCACTGATCGGCAAGTCAGACTCGAAGAGCTCTGATGTGAAGGTGCTACACAACATGAACTCCTTGTCAGGGAGCGACAGAAGCTGTTCCATGAATGCCTTCCCATTGTCTTTATGTATCGATGCACAATGGTATAGACGTTGGATAGTTTCATGTATGAATGCTTCCCCATTCAGACTTATGGATATGTTCGAGCGGGAGACTTCGGATAGCGTAACGCTGACGCTGCTCTCCTGTGAGTCGAAATCATCGTCCACATCCATAAGATCTTGGTCCTGTCCCGAGGATTGCCGCAAGGATCTCTCTTCCACGGTTGCTGTCAGTGTCGAGATCAACCTCAACAGTGGGGCATCTTCTTCAAGGCTGTTGATGCCCGCTGTGTTAAGTGACGGAAGCACCGGTCGTATTGTTCTCAACAGAAGCTCGAAACTTGTGTTGTCACTCGAGTTCGAAGCAGCACTTATGCTGGCCTCGGAAAGCTTGGCCAGCAGACTTTCGATATCTCGTGACTGACCCGAGTTCAAGTCGACAAGCTGGCTGGCAAGGAGGATACCTGTGATATTCGCAGAGAAGAGACTGTGAAGTCGGTCTGAAGACATGGGAGCGCCCCCCTCTGACCCCTTTCTCGCCCACGAGTCACAGAGGTCCTGCAACTCCTCAACCTTTGGAAATAGGAGCTCCAATACTAGTCTCTTCGAAGCATGAAAAGAGGCATCGTTGGCCTGGACTGATTCCGAAGTGCTTGAACGACAGCCCAGGAGGGTACGTGGCTTCGATGCTGGTGGTGCATCCAGCAGCAGGAGATATCGTGTTAGGACTGCTGTGTGGTACTGTGTCTTCCACACCTCGCAAATGGACCCTCCGGTCACTGTCAAAGGTGTCGGTGTCAAAACCCTTGCGCCACAGCAAGCCCGGATCAGGTTGGCAAGTTCATCAATCGGAGCGTGGATAGAGCAGTCGCGAGCATAGCTCCAGTCGGCTTGAAAAGGGTTAGATTGGTGAATAGCTTCGACTTGTAGAACGACGTACCTGGATTCCATCTCTGGAATATCCATCGAATAACGTGATGATTTGTGGACTGGCTTGCGTTGGGCAGCTTGACGTTTCTGAGAGACCGTAAATGAAACATGAGGGTAATGGAAGAGTCCACCAAGAGGGCTGGGCCGTTGGTGTCGGCAGTCGTGACAATGCTGTTGATGGCATCGGAAACATCGTGGTAAAGTACAAGGTTTCTATCAAGGACAGTGTGCAAGAGTACGCTGGCGGCACGACTGGTATTAGGAAGACCGACTGCTCGAGAAGCTACTTGCCATAGCTGTCTCCATGAGTCTGAATTATCGGCCGACTTGACCTGTGATATTGCGGAGCTTCGCGTTCTTAGCTTTAGCTAGTTGTACACAGTTTAGAGGCGCCTTACCTGGAGCAAGCGAGCATAGCCCAGGACACTACCGTGGAGTCCTTATCGCCAGCAAGGCCAGCGAGATCAATAACAAGATCCGACACTTCAGCCACAGAGAAAGTGTTTAATTGAAGAAGGAAAGGCACGAGCTGCAAGGCGAGTATCCGTGCTACCGAGTTGGGCGACTGCAGCTTTTCCTGCAAACGCGTCGCTGCAGCGTGTGTCTTGCGCTTTTTCCGCGGTTGCTCCTCTGGGGACTGTGATATATCCTTGTTGCGGCTCTTCCAAATGATTCGCTCCAAGATGGCGAGGTTTTGACACAAAACCCATCCTCGCTCTCCCTCCCGGTTGTGTATACGAAGGCCGAAGAGCTCTAGCGTGAAGTAGTCCTCGGGCAACCTCTGGGGGGCGAATGTGAGATCGTCGAGTTGAAGCTGAGAATGTTTGGTTCGCCGCGAGTATTCCAGCCATAGAGAATCGGCGAGTGCTATTATCTCTTTGCGGGCTGTATCGTCACCCTCGAGACATACAAGACGCTCAAGATGGAGGTGGATGATCAACATGGTTTTCAGCATCTCGTCCCGGATTGAATTGAGCATCCCATCTTGAGATGCTGTTCGCGCCTGCCACCAATGACTGATCAATGGCACAAGGTCTCTGGCCAAGCTGGCAGACCGAGAGATGTCGTTTGCTTGAATCTCGAGAAAGACTTTGGTGATTGAAGCAAAGCTCAGCTGAATCACTTGGCTCAACCCAAGGTGGCGTAGCTGTAGTACCTGGATGATCGTCTCAGATAGATCAATGGATCTTTCGTGAAGCGGCGCGTTTGGCGGGCAGACGAGGAGGTGGATGCAATGAACGAGGTCCTGTACGGTACCGCGATGGATTTGACCCGTCACCCTCTGGCTAGCATTGGTGCTTCTTCCAGTAGAGAATCCCAAAGACGCCGTGCCCGGTGCTGGAGATCCCCGTGAGCCGGAGTCTCTGTCAGCATGATCGAGATAAACCCGCACGGCATCGACGCAGAAATCGACACAGCTCTTCCATCCGGTCGCATCCAGTGTAGCAAGCTGCTCGACATTCGCCTGATGGGAGAGCAGGGCGAGGATGGATCTGACATAGTCTTTCAACAGTGGCTCCACGTACGGCCCGTCCCCGGATCCAGGTGGGCAGGGTAGAGCCTGGGTGACGTGGTCGATGAGAGCAAGCATCGTCTTTCTCTTGAGCTTGCTGGCAGAAGCTCCGTGGCCGACGGCAAGCCGAAGGGCCTCGGCGCATTTGCCCAATCTGCCTCCCGCTCCTGCAGCCGTTGTCCGCTTGCCCCCGGCGTAGGTCTTCTTCTCGCTGATGGCGCATTTGAAGAGAATCTCAAGTATGCGATGGTAGTGCTTGTCGCGAAGGGTGGATAAACTGGCCGATTTGCCCTTTTTGTCCAGGAGATAGATCAGGTCTGCCCTATGGTCAATATCCCTGAGCAGGCCACTGACGCCAGAGACTCACCATCCAAACCCGAGGAACGCTCTCTGAGGTTGCCCCCATCGATTAGATCTGCTGCGTTGTCAGCTGTGAAATCAAATGGCAGCAGTGTTACTAACCCAGCGCATCGTTAACGGTAACGTCCCCCGTCTTGATCTTTGGAGGCGCCATTGTTGTTATATGCCATCGTCCTATGGCCTCGTCAGTGAACAACTATTCGCAAACGAATGCAACGGAGTTGATGGGCTCGGACACGGGATTATAAGAGGGCAGAGAGCGAGGGAAGGCGAGATTGTAGTGAATGTACCTTCCTGCCTGCTGGAAAAAAGCTTGGAGTGCACCTTCCGGTGTTGAATGTCATGAGGGTGCTGTTGAGGCAGGCGTAAGCGTGGTGATTGTAGTATTAAGTACCTACGGATAGTCGCGACGGAAATTCAAGTGCAGTACTGGCACCTCACAAGTCACAATGATGCCACGAGGTGATCATTTGCTGGCATGCGGCTGACTTGTCAAAAAATTCCAATGTGCCGCGCAAAGCTCAGGTACGACACTTGATGAGCTTCCAGAAAATCATTCGGTAAGACGCGGCACTTCATAGCCTGCAACGAAGCTCCTTCATAGATAGATTCCTACAGTACCTGGAGAGCTCCTCAGGTACCTACCTTCCGTCCTTCAGCTGGCGACTTTCCCTAGGTCGCCCCTGCCCAATTGCAAGTAAATTACGGCAGAAAGTTTCACCACCTACCCAAGGCGAATAGGTCAGGTACGTCTCTTGTTGACTTCGGCGCGGAACATCTGGGTGGGCCGCGAATTTTTCTCGACACAGCAACCGCCAATGCACCCAATTGGACACTGGAAGCCCAGGCACCCACCACCATGGACACTGACAGCATCGACCATCCACGCGCCTGCGGCAAGCCACACTTCCAAGGTTGAAGGACAAGCACCTCTCGTCGCTGCTGAGCTCCACACTAAAATTCCCGGCATCTCGAAAAGCGTCGCCCGCGCAGACCATTCACGACCGAACAAACGAGCAGATCCGGTCGCCTTTCGCCAACGCGACAGCTTCGCGGCCTCCCCTCATCTCATGACATAAACAGCTTTTTGAGGCCATGCAATAGCGCGCCCAGCACCTCAAAATGGCCGAACCGAATACCCTCGAAGCTTTGCAGGCTTTCCACCGCGACTTGGCTGCCATTCGCGATGGTCGTCCCGAAGGCGTTGACTCCTTGGACAACCCCGTTATCCAAGCCATATTCGAAAGGGAGCTCGAAAAAACATGGCAATGGCCTGCAAGAGATGAGAAGAGCCGTCAGGCTATCAAGTCAGGTTGGTTTGAAGCTCTGTAGCTTCCCTGTCCAAACGTGTACACTGACACAGCTCCATGCGCCAGGCAAGGTTGTGATTGACGAGGAGGAATACGCCGTCAACGACGAGTTTCAGCAATTGGTCCTCAGCCTCGCCGACGAAGCCGAAATAAACGAAATCGATGCCATGCGATGCCTACTGGATTCCGAGGATGATCCCATCGCCATCGCTCGCCCGCTGCTCGAATGCGCTTTGATCAGGATTCACCAACAACGAAGATACACTCTCGACAGTATTCGACTCATGTTTGAGATTGATGCGCTGGACGACGACGAGGTTGATCCCGAGATTCTCAATGGTGTGCAGATGTATCTGTCCGCGACCGTCTTTCAAAGCCTGCCAGGCGAGACGGCCTCTTCGCAAAAGAGGCTGATTCCAAAGTGCATGTCGGCGATCCAGGATGTTAGGACGTGGCTCCAGAAGATTGCCGACAAACTGACGGCTGCAGCCGTACTGATCAATGGCAGAGGTGGTCAGGTACCCGAAGAGATGGAGACGATTGAGTTCTCCCGCGTCAGCCTTTATCAGCAGCACGAGCTTCTTTCAATGATCCTGTGCCGCGCAATCGAAAAGAGGGATGCTGAAGTTGGCGACTTCAAGGCGTTCCTGCAGCTATTGAGCAACGTGGACAAGTACGACATTCTTCTTGGTAAGTACGACGACTTCTGTGGACGAACTACATCCGCTGACATGGGCTGAAGCGCATTTGTTCCCCGCATTGGGTGCGTACATCACACTATATGGCTCGACCGAAGGAGTTTCGAGCCTGAACATGGCGAGACAACTCAATCCGATCATCTGCCCACAGGCCGATGAGACGACCCCTTGGCGCTTGGTGTATCTTCAAGCAGCTGTCAAGACTTGGTGGCTATCAGAGTACAGCGGATGGTACCTGGACGACTCGCTCCTCGGTGGCCTGGAAGGTGTTGATTTGGACAAGGAGGACAGACAGAGATCCAAACAATTCTTGGAGGCTCTGAAGGATGGTGCTTTCGACTTCATCCTCTCCATTGCCGCAGACGTCAAGACGCCAGAGTGGGTCGACCCATCAAGAATAACGATGCGCAACTGGCTCCAGCGAAAGGCGCCTCCGCTCATCTCAGACTCCATCACCTTCTCGGAGGAGTTCCAGTCGTCCCTGATGCTTCAGTTGGAGGTCTTTGTCGATGCCTTCATTTCAAATCTCCCTGACGTCCTGCGAAAGCTTCGTGTGGAAGAGGACGAGCAGCGTCAGCTAAGCCAGACACACGAACAGGACCTCGACCTGGAGCGTTTCCTGGTGATCATTGCCTACGCGTACGAAGGCCGTCCCGATGCCGCAATGAACTTCTGGTCAGACCCCGATAGCAATTTGGCTGGATTCATGCACTGGGCATCACGGAGAGCCTCGACGCCGCTAGTCAGCTCGTTCTGCGAGATGCTGCAGGCCATTTCAAGCAATGAGGATTGCGCGACGGCCGCGCACGAATTCCTTCTGGACGAAGGCCACCATGCGTCTGGCAAGATGAGGCGATCACAGTCCCTCACGTGGCACCAGATATTCAGAGAGCTTGTCTTCTTCTCAAACAAGATTAGAGAAAAGGCCCAGACCCCCCAAGCGCCATCAACATACCGGCCCGGCAGACCGACCAGCGACCAAGCCGAGGCAGAGCCTGAATCTACCATGATGTTGCAGTCATACTTGCGGCTCATTACCAAGCTCGCGTCCGAAAGCGAAGCCCCGAGACAATTCCTCCTCAAGGAGCCCAGCTTCAACCTCGTCGAGATGCTCTTCCAGCTAGCAAGCAGTCCGATCCCTGCGGATTTGCGGGCCGGCACATTCATGGCCTTGCGCGCTCTTATTTCACGGAAAACCCAGGAAGAGGCCAACATCATGTGGCAGTGTCTGGAGGCCTGGATGAACGGTGCCTACATTGTGACGCCAAGCCAGCACCGATCGCCCCAGAGCTCTCCCATTGTATCCATGGACACCGTCAGCGACGACATTTGCCACGGCTTCGACGAACCCCACGCCTTCATTCAGCTGCTGATCGCGCTCATTTCGCCTCCGGAAGACAGCAGCCCTCTCAATGATGGCTTGCCATTCCCTGAGAACCTTGGCTCAGCGAATCGCATGCCGGGTATCGAAGTCTACGTCGACACTGTCATGGGCAAGGTTTTTGCAAACAAGGCCAACGAAGTCAACGACGTAAATCAACTGAGGATGCTTCGCCTGAGCTGCCTCGAGTTTGCAGCAACCTGCTTGGCGACATTCAACGAAAACCTCATCATCATCGCCAATGAGACAAACATTCCCATTGACTCGGCAATGGCCGCAACGGACCTGGCGACCTACGTCAAGCTCCACCCCTTTGCTAGAGTCATGGAGTGGATGTTCAACGACAAGGTCATTGCTGCCCTCGCCCAGACCATCCATCAAGACGCAGTAGACGTCGGCAATGCAGCGCCCACATCACCAACTATTCTGGGCATCCTCAGAGCGGTAGAAGTCATTTCCAAAGTGTTGGACCTTCAAGCAACATTCCTTGATCTTGTGCGCCCAATCATCAAAATGCAGTCAAATCACCGACGGGCTCCTGTGGCCAACGCCGCATACGCCTCCTTCGAGGACGGTTTGGTTGGTCATCTGAGCTTGGTCGTCGACCTCGGGAACTACTGTGGTCTCGGCCATCCCGAGTTGACCTTGTCTTGCCTGCGATTGCTGCAGAAGATGACTGCATCTTTCAAGATCACCTCTGCATGGTCATCCACGCCAGGCCGCAAGAGCCACCGCAACAAGGCCATCGTCGCGTTGGAAGCGAATGGAGAGCACGAGGCCATTGCCCGGGCTCTCGCCGCGGAGCTGATGACGCCACTCGACCTCGCCGGACAAGCCGAATCACCGAACTACCTCACCAAGACTTACATACTCGAGTTCTTGTCAAGCTGCTTGGCCGCAAGCCCCAATAAGCCTACCATTGCTCACCTTCTCCTCGGGTTCACCTGTGGCGTTGACACGCTCTCGATAGCGCCAGATGGCACCTTTGCCGCAAGAGATTCGCTCTTTCACAGCATGTTGAGGCTTCTTCTCGAGAGCCCTCACGGTGATGCCACTTGCATGCGTCACTGGCTCATTTCATTGAAGAGCAGATGCATGCGTATTTTGCGCGTATTGTGGACGTCGCCGCTGTCAGCTCCGTTCATCATTGACGAGTTGCGAGATAACGATATCTTGTTCCACTTCCTGCTGCGCGAGGTAGTAATCCAACCTCAACTCCTGTGGGAAGAGCACGAAATTAGCATGCCCCAATTCCCAATAACGGAAGGAGCGCCGACGTTCATCGACTTCCTTGCGTTGCGCAGCATGAGTTTGGAGTACATCTCGATGGAGCTATGCAGCATTTCGCAGAGTCGAATGCCATCCCTCAAGCGACGCATCTTTGAGGCTCTCAACGGCCAGATTGTGGGCGAGAACAACGAACCCATGCCTATTCCCACAATTTTTGATTTGTACGACTTCTCACTACCAGACGGCATTTGGGACGAGACACTCCCTTCACTACAATTTTACAAGGACCTGGATCTCAGCTCATGCCTCGAAGAAGACGACCACGGAAATCCCATATACAACGTCGAACGGGCAAAGGAAATTCTGCAACTCAAGCGCAGTGAACGAAGACACGACGGCGTCGTGCTCACGGCACAAGATTTTGCGACTCTAGAACGGGAAGAGGCGACAATCATTGACTACCTCATCTTCTCCAACCGGCAAAAGCGCATAGCGTCGCAAGGCCTGGGTGTTCTCAAGACCTGGACAAGCCTGCTCCTCGTCATGGTTGCATCGAACGAGTTCAAGGGCACCACCGAAGCGTCTTTCTACTTGCAAGCGCTACAGGCCATCCTGCCTGGCTTAGAGGCTTCTGCATTTGAGCGGCCAGAGGAGGCCATGGAGCTTGCTAAATTGGCCAGGGTGCTTCTTTTCAGACTTGACTTGACCGCGAAGCCTTCGCTTGACCGTGAGAGCCAGGCGATTGGCAGCCTGGTAAGCGACAAGCTTTACCAGCTGTTCCAAATATGCCTGCAGGCTATTGGCAAGTGGACCGGTTCATCAGACCTCAGAGCGGTGTACTACAGCATATGCTACCGGTACTTGACGGGCATGGTAGACCAGGGACTCCTCGTTGCCGGCCGTCAGAAGACGAACAAGACTATTCAGATGTACGGGGAGAGGCTTATCAACGTCATTTGCGACGATGCGTATGGAAGCGATGCGGCATGCCAGACGGCTGCCTTTATCCTGCTCAACGCGTTGGTCAACCTCGGACGACAGGAAGATGACCAGCACATTGTGGAAACACTCAACCGACTCAACTTTATTGGAATTCTCGTCGACTCCCTGCGGACCATTCTGCAGGACTGGAACGAGATCATTCACACCGGCAACACGGCGCAAGAGACGTACATTGCCGCAAAGTTTGCGTTGCTGTTGCAGCTCGCTCAGACAAAATCGGGTGCCAAGTACATCTTGCACGCAAACCTGTTCCGATCCATCGAGGCATCGGGCCTATTCGCCGCGGACCCGGAGCTCCAGATTGATCCGACAAATCCCAAGGCACTGGAGAAGCACTACGAGCTCCTCGCAAAGGTCACGCAGGTGGTCGGCGCCGCCATTGTCAGCCGCGGCTCGAGCAACGTCCTACAGGGACGTAGGTTCCTGACGGAGCATCGCATGTTGGTGACACACACTCTCAAGCGCAGCGCTGGTATCGGCACCGTTGAGGGACAGGGCGCGTTGGAGGAGAATATCGAGGAGTTGGCTGAGGGCTTCATGGTCTTGATTGCCGCGACCGGCTTCCTGGAGGTAAGGATTTTTGCTCACATCTCGTCAAGATTTAATGACACAGTTTGCTGACTTGTTGACAGTTTGAAAATGACGTGATGCCGGAGCCAAAGAAGCAGGGCCCTGTATTGTTTACCTAAGGACAGCCGGGGTTGAGCAGCTCAAGAGGCCGTGTACGAGGCGTAATCAGTGGAAGAATTTGAGAAGAACCAAAAAGAGAAAAAAGACTTGAAGATCAGCGTGGATGTCATCTGTGCATAGAACCAGGCGTTCGGGAGAAGGTCCAAAGGGTCGGACAGGAAATGGGACACTTTTGGCCGGAGGTCATACCTAGTCTCGTCGGGAAAACATATTCCCTGAGGAAAGCATATTTGAATAAAGAGTCGTGACGAATGTAGATCTTTTGCACATGAATTTACCGCCCGTGGTCTGTTCTGACTCTTTCTTCAAGTAGGTTCATAGTGCTCAAGACTCGAGTAGTCAGGAAAATGGCTGAAATGGGCTGTCATTTCGCTTTTGCTGTCCCTAAACAGGTCTAAGGGCTCCTCCGCTCGCCCTCCGTGAGCGCAATGCTGGTTGAACGGGTATCACAAGAAATCAATGACCAGGCCCTCCCGATTTCCCCCAAACGCACTGTAAATGCTAAAACCACGCAACCCTATGCCCTCCCCTCCTGTGTGTGTTCGCCAAAGATGGATGTACTGCCCGTGACTCGAAGAAGGCAGTCCTGGGGGGATGTTAAAATAAGTAATGGTGTAGAAGAAAAGGAAAAAAAGTCTTTAGGCCCGCTGTTTCCCCTTGCGGCTTGCTGTCATCAACTTGAGCTCTAGAGGCCAGAAGCCCTTGGTCTTGCTTGTGTACTCGTTTCGGTCCTTGGTTTCGACTTTTTGTCGGCAGATCGGGCACTTATTCTTAGTGGCGTCGACGTTGAGTGCAGAGTGCAGGCACTCGGAACAGAAGAGGTGACCTGCTAAGCATTAGTGCGATTTCCCAGTATAGCGCAGGTTGGCACATACCGCAGTGTGTTACTGTCAACGCAGTGACATCGTCCATGCAGATGACACACTGGAAGGCTGAGAGCTTGACCCTGTTGTCTTCCTTGGGCACTTTCACCTCCTCCGACGCCTCATTAGGGCCTGCCAGATCAATAATGTCCTCATCCTTCTCCTTTCCCTTCTTCGATTCTTCCTTTTCCTCGGCAAAGGGGTCGTCGTCTATGACTAGAGTATTGGTTGCTGTCTGAGTGCGCGTGCCCTGGGGCTGTGATGTCCGCCGTCTTTTCGGGCCGACAGAACCTCGAGACGGTGCAGAGGAGGGCGCAGCTCTCTTTCGCGATGTGGGTGCCGCGATCTCCTCCGGTTCGGGGTCGTGGTCGGAACTGAGTATTGTGGAGGCTCTCCGGCGCGTCTGTACAGGCATTGTGGCTGGTAGTTCGTCGTCTGAGCTGACGAAAAGCGATTCTTCCACCTCGCTCTCGAAAGTAGTAGGATTTCCCGTCGGTGCAAGTCCTACAGGTGGCGCGGCGGGAGTGTTGTTGATGCTGTTTCTGGTGAAGAGGCGGTTTGGTCGCAGCGCCGTTTCTGGAGGGCAGCGATGGGGAGGGTTTTGTAGATTCGAGGACTGATTCGGTTGGTGGGTGCCTGGAAAGGCTTGAACTTGTTGAGGGTACGAGGATGGCGAGGAGAAGTTCCCATCAACCAGTGCCGAAAGGAACTCGTCACTGTTCAGGTCGTGGCCAGGCGTCTGCGGGGCGCCGTTAGGGAAAGGCGCTGTCGCGTCGAACTGCGAGAAATCCAGGTTGGCGGCAAAGTCTGAAAAAGAGGGTAAAGCTTGTAGGTGCTGGGTGTTGTCTGGTGTCAATATGCCCCAAGGGTTGACTGCGTGGTTACGAGACCGCTGTTGTTGCTGCTGTTGCTGAGTACCCGTGGTGGCGTTTAGAGGCCCTGAAGTCGTAGCCTGTGCGGGCTCTGAATCGTCGTCGAGCTCGATGGGTACCTGACTACTGCCGCCTCGTGCAGCACCCCCGTCCAGGTCTTGGAGGTGATTCACGGATTGACCAGAGGTCGGTCGAGTCGGCTGAGGCAGAGGAGGCGTGGGTAAAAACGGGATGAGGCCCGGCATGGGAGGAATTAGGAAGCGCCGGTCGTCTGCAGCGCGAAAGGAACAATGTCCAAGGTCAGAGACAAGAGGTTTGGGGATCCCAAGAAAGACAATGATTGATAGACAATGTGCATAGGGAACAAGAAGGCATCTAATTACCTGACAGGTATCTGCCGAAAGGAGAATGAAGGTCGCCAAAGGGGTTCTTCGCCATGTCGAAGTGACGAAGGGAAAGTGGTGGAGGGGAGCGACGAAGGCGGGATGACGGTTGGACGTCCTTGCTAGTGTCGTCAGGCCGTTTCGGGGTTTAGGCGTCGGTTCGGCGATTGATCTGTTGCTGACCAGTGGCAGCGGGCTGCTGTGGACGGGCAATTGCTCCGCGACCAGGACGTTCTGAATGGCAGCTGTGGCCGTGTGTGAATCAGGTCAGCAGGGCACTTCTTTTGCAGGTGCACTGGTGGCGACTGGATGGGACACTTGAGTTCTTCCAGGTTCTCAGCGGACTTACTCATGGGCCACCGGCACTAATTAGTATTTGTGATCCGCCAGGGTCAAATCTCAGAGGGGAAAAAAAATGAGAAGGGAAAAATTCAATAGTCCTCGGATCAGGATGTGTACACTACTAAGGGATGCCTCTGTAGCTGCCTCGGGATTCCCGATTGCGTCAAGTGGCAGACGCAGCGCTCGGGTCGTCAGTGGACAGAGGAGAAAACGCGACTCGAATAAGAAAAGAAACGATCTAGGTGGTCCTCTCCATCTGTGTCTGCCTCTGCTTTGGGATCTAGGCCGGTCCCGGCGTTGCACAACACGGCTACATGCAGCCAGTCGGTCACCCAGTGTCGGGCAGCTCTCGCACAGCGTTTTCACTCATTCATTGGTGTGATACGTCGCTGCGTTGTGATCCCAGTTCCAGACTGGCTGAGGGCCCGAGACTGGTGCGGCAAGCGCGACACAACACAGGTGGCCGCAACACACGGCACAGGTGCCAAGTGTATGCTTCTCCAGTCTCGAAAGTGAGCAGCTTGGATGAACTGTGCCTGGTTCATTTTACTACCACGTAGCATTATGGACTAGATACATGCCTGCCCAAGATAGAAAAAAACCCCGTTAGGAGGATTGTGACTGCCGGAGCGGGCCGGAGGTAATAGACCCACAGTGCCGACTAAAGTGGGGGCGACGGGCGGCGACTGTCTTCGGAATTCGACAATTTGATACCCAGGCAAAGGTAACTCAAGGCGTAGACGATGGTTTTCATGACTTAACTTCGCTGCTTCATCCCTTGATTTATGTGCTTACCTAGTAGACAGATGAATGCACCAATCTAGTTGCAAGAAATAAAGTCAACATCCAGGAATCCACTTGAATATGGATGATTGTGTGTATTTACAGTTGCTCTTGCGCTACTCGTCTTGATGTGTCTAAGCATGGAGGTCAGGTGCTGTAGCTAACTCTGCACAATAATCCTGATTGACTGTACGAATAGTGGTAAATTAAGATGTCAGATAGGATGAAGAGACAGTGTCCTTCGGGATGACAGACGAGATAGGAGACGCGATCCAACTGTCTTCGAAAGTGGGAACACTCCATTTTGAGGTCGCTTTCCATGGCCCAGGCAAGCGGGAGACCCTGAAAGCTCTCAAGGTGGGGGCGACCAGGTGAGCTGAGCAAAGCAGGCAATCCCAACGATGCCGATTGGCTGCCATCCTTGCAGCAGCACATGGACCCAAGCTAACGCGCCCCTCTTCCGCCCCCTATCGCGACGCCTATCGAAATGGTGACGGCAACTTTCGAGTTTTCGGCCTTGCTCCTTGTTCGTCGCTCATTCAGCGCCGCACCTCCCAGCTTCCGCGCATCCTCTTCTTCGCATCCAGGTCATGCTGCGCTACCATACATCGACAATACGCATCTAATACGCACCCGAACTCGCTGTGGCATGCTGCAAGGCCGATCCTGCGATGGTTGAGATTGCGAACCATGTACTGAGGAGTTCGACTGCGAGCTTCGTCCGCCTAGCCAGACACCATGCTTCCCGTCGCCTAGCATGGCGCTCTTACGTTCGGTGGCAATCCGCAATCGCTGCAGATGCCTCCAAGACAAGTGACATTGCAGAATCACAACAAAGTCTAGCTCGTACGATCATGCGCCTAACTAGATGTTTGCCTGGCCATTCGCTAACATTTGCAGTCCCGTCGCAAGCGCGCTTCAACGATATCGGTGTCCAGCACCTCAGCGCTCATGTGTATAAACAGCTCTTCCCCGATGGAAACCCCCCACCGCCTTCAGAACTCGTCGAACTATCGAAAGACCATTTGCGCCGGCATGATTTACTCGGCAAGAACACGGACAATAGCGACCCTATCGCCTTCGATTTACCAGAGCTCCAAGGACGCACATTGGACGAGCACTTCTACAAGCTGGCCGTCGATTCTGCCGAGCCGTACCTCTCTTTTGCCAAACAATTTGCGAGGGCGAGCGCACCGCCAAAACCGCGGAAATGGGTTCGCCGGAGTGGCTGGACCAAATACTATCCCGATGGCCGAACCGAGGCGGTCGATGCGCCCGACGAGTCGATGCTCTGTTTTGATACCGAAGTCATGTGGAAGGAAAGCTCGTTTGCCGTCATGGCTTGCGCCTCGAGCCCGACGGCATGGTACGCCTGGCTGTCCCCGTGGCTCCTGGGCGAATCGGAGTCTGATCGACACCTGATACCGTTGGGCGACCCGAACAAGGAGCGTATAATAGTAGGACACAATGTTGGATACGACAGGGCGAGGATACTAGAAGAGTACGACGTGAAGCAGACTCGCAACTCGTTCCTGGACACCATGTCGCTTCACGTCGCTGTGAACGGCATGTGCTCGCAGCAGAGGCCGACGTGGATGAAGCACAAAAAGAGTAGAGAGTTACGAGATAAAATCGCGAGCGAAACAGACGACGTCCAGCTTGCGGAACTTCTGGGCAACAGTGCCTTACGGCAAGAGGAGGAGGAGTTGTGGGTGGAACGAAGCTCGGTTAACTCACTCCGCGATGTGGCAAAATTCCACCTCGACGTCTCCATTGACAAGGCCGTTCGCGACGAGTTCGGCTCCCTCGACCGGGATGGCGTGTTGAGCAAGCTGGACAACCTCCTCGACTACTGCGCTGCAGACGTAGCCATCACTCATAGGGTGTACCAGATTGTATTTCCCAATTTCTTGGACACTTGCCCTCATCCCGTCAGCTTCGCGGCCCTGCGACACCTTTCGTCCGTCATTCTACCCGTCAACCAGACATGGGATGCCTACATTCACAATGCTGAGGCCACCTACCGAGAGCTTTCTGACGCCGTGCAGGAGCGTCTCATCGGGCTTACTGAGCAGGCTCTGGCAATCAAGGACGACCCCGAGAAATGGGGGAACGATCCATGGTTGAAGCAGCTGGACTGGTCCGGCCAGGAGATCAAGATGGTCAAGGGGAAAAAGAAGAATGACCCCCCACGGCCAGCCGCGAGACAAAAGAAGCCGGGCATGCCGAAGTGGTACAAGGACTTGTTTCCGAAGAACGATGCCCCCATTGCCATCTCTGTGCGTACCCGCATCGCGCCTATCCTACTCAAACTATCGTGGGATAACCACCCGTTGTTCTGGTCGGACAAGTATGGTTGGACGTTTAGAGTGGCCTTTGACGAAGCAGAGGCCTACGCGCAGAAGCAAATGATTGAGTGCGATTTCTCCGACTATGACGCCGATGCGGCACTACTGAAAGAAGAGGGCATCTTTTTTAAGCTCCCCCACAAGGACGGGCCCACGGCACGGTGCGTCAACCCGATGGCCAAAAGCTATCTCTCCTACTTTGAGAAGGGCACCTTGTCGTCAGAGTACGCATACGCCAAGGAGGCGCTGGAAATGAATGCGTCGTGTTCGTACTGGATCAGTGCTCGGGATCGCATCAGGTCACAGATGGTGGTGTACGAAGACGATCTGTCGGTCAACGGTGAGGATGCAAGCTCCAAGAAGGAGAAGAGCGCGGAGGAAGTCCAGGGCTACATCTTGCCTCAAATCATACCTATGGGTACCATTACGAGACGAGCCGTAGAGAACACATGGCTCACGGCAAGTAACGCGAAGAAGAACAGAGTCGGATCGGAGCTCAAGTCGATGGTGAAAGCACCACCGGGCTACTGCTTTGTCGGGGCCGATGTTGACTCGGAAGAGCTGTGGATTGCGAGTCTGGTCGGAGACGCAACGTTCAAACTGCATGGTGGCAACGCCATTGGATTCATGACTCTGGAGGGCACCAAAGCAGCCGGCACAGATCTCCACTCGCGGACAGCAGGCATTCTCGGCATCACGAGGAACGATGCCAAGGTCTTCAACTATGGCCGTATCTACGGTGCGGGCCTCAAGTTTGCTGGTCAGCTGTTGAGACAGTTCAATCCCAACCTGTCCGAGCAGGAGACAAACGCGACTGCGTCAAAACTATACGCTACGACGAAGGGTACAAAAACCAACAGATCAGTACTCAGCAAGCGGCCGTTCTGGCGCGGCGGGACTGAGTCGTTCTTGTTCAACAAGCTGGAGGAGTTTGCGGCCCAGGAGCGGCCGCGGACGTTCGTCCTTGGGGCCGGCATCACGGAGGCCTTGATGCGTAGATTTATCAACCAGAACGGCTACCTGACGTCGCGCATCAACTGGGCCGTCCAGTCATCTGGCGTCGACTACCTCCACCTCCTCATCGTCAGCATGGACTATCTCACTAGGCGGTTCAATATCGATGCCCGTCTCGCCATCACCGTCCATGATGAGATTCGATACCTTGTCAAAAACCACGACAAGTACCGTGCGGCGATGGCGCTGCAGGTAGCCAACGTCTGGACCAGGGCCATGTTCTCCCAGCAAGTGGGCATTAACGACCTGCCGCAGTCGGTGGCGTACTTCTCGGCCATCGACATTGACCATGTCCTCCGCAAGGAGGTCGACATGGACTGCATCACGCCGAGCCACAAGACACCGATCCCCCACGGCGAGAGCCTCGACATCACCACGCTGCTCTCCAAGGGCGCCGAAGCCCGCCTCGACCCCGCCATCGTGCCCGACCCCTCGCACGTGCCCAAGCTCGACGGCATCGAGTACACGCCTCGCACGCCCGTCATGGACACGCTCGAGGACAGGACGACGGCCGACACCTTTTTCCTCAAGGCGCAGATCGCCAGCAGCGAGGCCGAGTTGAGCCAGGTGCTCAAGGACAGGAGGACGGCGCTCAAGGCGCAGGAGGAGAAGATGACGACGCCCAAGCCGCCCCGGGCCAAGAAGGAGCGCAGCGTGTTGCCGTACCACTCGGACGCGAGGCTCGTGCCCACGATGACGGTCTCGGACGCGATCGGGAACAGGTTCTCGCGGTACGATGGGAAGAGCAAGTGGACGACGTGGCAGAAGGAGAAGGGCGTGGGCCGGTCGGGGCCCAGCTCTAGCTATAATGTACGATGAGAAAGTGGCGGCGATGATGGTGTTGTACGATGTTTGTAAATGCCTGGACGGCAACCTCTGTCTACTATGTATGTTACCAGAAGCTGGTGGTCTTTCAAAAAGTTTGGAGCTCGATTGGCTGGGAAGAAGCGAGTTGGTGTTTTGATGTTGGGTCCTGGCGTTGAGTTGTATATGGAGGGACGGCAACATTTCCGTTTGCGATGTCTGATACCAATCATATTTGTTTTACCTCACGATATCCATGCTCTATGTGTGTTCGTTCTCATTCCTCGCACTCCTTTGCCCCTGTGCCGAAGGATTTTTTTGGATTTTATTTTCAATTATTAAGACTTGCAAATTAAGTGATACAAACCGTCTAAACCAGATGGACGCCATGACCCCCACAAACAAACTGTTACGCTCCCCCCTTCATCTAAGCCCAACATAAAGAAACACTATAAGCCAGGCCTTTGCAAGCCGTCTAAAGCCAACTATGCCAGCATAAAAGACGGACAAGCCTAGCCCCCATGTACACACTTCCCGACCTTACACAAATTGTACGAGGTACGTGATAACCGACCAGCGGCGTGGGCACCCTTCTCAGTTCTTCTTGATCTTCAACACGATCCACGCCGCGATGCGGTATCCGATGACGATGGAAAGCATGATGCCCACGTCTCTGCCAAAGTGGTTCTCTGTGTACCCGTACGTATCGAGCACGCCCTGCCCGGCAATCTTGCACTCGCTCGCCAGCGGGGTCTGGTACATGCACTGGCACCCTTTCCCGCAGGTATATGTGCGGTGCCCGAACTCGTTGTGCATCATGCCCTCGAACACATACTTCTGGTAGTCCCAGTAGTGGAAGACGTACTTGTAAAACGAGTTGAGAATGGTGGGGGAGACCATGAAGCCGTTTACGCTCATCCAGAGGCCGTTTGCGAAGGCGACGAGCGCGAGGCTGATGACGAAGCTGGGGAAGAGGGAGACGAAGAAGACGACGAGGGACTCGGCGGCGAGCAGGTCGAGGAAGAGCCAGAGGACCCAGATGAAGAAGGCCGTGGCTGAGGGGCGGAAGTTGGAAAGCCAGTAGGAGATTACGGAGAAGATGAGGGCGATGAGGAAGAGGTAGGGGATACCGATGAAGAAGTTTGAGATGAGGAGAGCTGTTGGGCCGTAGAGACCGTTTTGGTGCTCCTTCACGTATTGGTCGCGGTCTTCGAGGAACTTTGAGTTGGTTTATGTTAGTTTTGGGTTTGTCAAGGGGGGTGAGGAGAGGTGCGTACGCTTGGGACTGCGGCGACTGCCATGAAGCTCATGAAGGCACCGCCAAAGAACTAGTATGATGGTCAGTGAAGCCCGGGAATCAGAGTTGATATGGACTATAGGGGTACTTACAATGGCATTGGTCAAGGGGATAATGGACTCCTGGTCAGTCGAAAGGCGAAGCCATACAGTACCCATCATGATAGCCAGACCTGATCCAGTCAGTACACCATCCTCGAAACACAAGCAAGAATCCAGATAACTCACCAGTGTACATGACAAACCGGATCCCGTACGCCACAACATCCCGATAACTCTTGATGAAGCTCCGGTGCAGCAACGTCAGCGCGAGACTCGGCAAGCCGGGCTTCTTCTCCGCCTGGTCGTCGTCTAGGGAATTGCTATTCTTCTCGGCATCGGCGATGGCGGCCCGCAGCTCCTTGGCCGGGCGCGACTCCTCCCAGGCGCCGTGCATCGCCTCGAGCCTCTGCGCCGCCTGGCGCTTGTCCTTGACGAAATCCGTGTTAACCATCTCGAGCACGTGCTCGGCCGGGTTCACCTGCGTGGGGATCGGCATGCCGAGGGACTCGTAGTAGGGGACGACGTTGTTGACGGGGCCAAAGTAGTGCGTCTTGCCGGCGGAGAGGAGGAGGAGCTTGTCAAAGAGGTTGAAGGTGGAGGTGGAGGGTTGGTGGATGGAGGCGATGACGATGAGCTGTCGGTGTGTTAGTATGCAAGGTTTTTCGTGGAAGCTGAATTAGAGGCAGATTGACTCGACTTACGTTGCTCCGCTTAGCCACCGTCTTGAGGTAACTGATCACCTCAAAACTCGCCGCAGAATCCAACCCGCTCGTCGGCTCGTCCAGGAACATGATCTTCGGGCTCGTGATAAGCTGGCTCGCCACACCAACACGCCTCTTCTGCCCGCCCGAGATGCCCTTGCGGATCGGCGTGCCGATGATGGTGTTGGCCTGCTCGTTGAGACCGAAAGCGTTGAGCAGGCCATCGATGCGCGCGAGGCGCTCGCTGGCGGGAAGCGAGGAGGTGCTGGAGAGGCGCGAGGTGAACAGCAAGGTCTCGCGGACGGTGAGCGAGCCGATGAGGGCGTCCTCCTGCTCCACGAAGCAGCTCATCTGGCGGAACTGGGAGCGCGAGGGCTTCGCGCCGTTGACGAGGACGGAGCCGGAGACCGAGGAGGCGTTTGTGGGGCGGCCTGCGAGGACGTTGAGGAGGGTTGTCTTGCCGCAGCCCGAGGGGCCCATGAGGGCGCAGATTTCTCCTGGAAAGTTGTGTGAGGATGGTATGTGACATGTGAGTAGAGTACAAGGAATTGCAAGACGTACCAGCCTCCACGATCCCGTTGACGTGGTCGACGATCTTCTTGGGCTGCTTCGTCACCCTGTCCTTGACGGTGACCTCCGTGCCCTCCCACGAGATGTTCTGGACGGTGGTGTTGAGCAGATGAGCGTCCACGGATCCCAGCATCTCAACATCGTGCTCGAAGAAGCTGTTGTTGTCGCCATGTGTCATGTTGGTGTGCTCCTTCTTCGCACCCGAGGCGTCGCTATCTCGAATCGTCATGGCGTTCTGTCCTTGTTTCTTTCTTGATGATGTTCCACCGAGAAACTGATGTAAGTCGATGCTCGAACAGGGAATCTAAGGGGGAAGTGCGTGTAATTCGAATGTTCAATAAACCACAATAAAAGGAAATCTTGATATATAAGAGTTATAATGAGACACAATTATGGTACAACCGGTCAGACAAGGAGGAAGGAAGGCAAGCGTTATATGAGATCCGATCCTTCCCCTCCACCCCTTCCTTCCTCCTTCAGAATCCTTATCTGGGGAACCGACATCCGCCAAGAGATGTAGCCTACCCGGCTCGCCAGGGACGGCTGTGCCGCCGCATCCACTGCTTGTATTGCTTCCACGTCGCAAGGTACGGAGTACGGATACCTGGTGTGTGGGTAGGTAAGCAACGGTAAACCGGGGTGCGGCCAGGCCGTTTGAGGCTGAACCAGATAATAGGCTTCATTCCTGCCGCACTAGTAATCGGCGACCATCATGTAAGACGTCTCTTTTAGCTCCCATGCCACACCCACAGATACCCCGGCTCTGCTCCGTAAGCCAAAGAAGGGGGAGAAAAAAAAAAGGAATGCGCCGAGGTAGGGGTGCGGCGCAAACACGCGTTGATAGTACCTTACACAATAAGCGATCTTGTGGTTGGAAGAGCCATGCAGCGCAACGACGGGTGCAGCAGCCGTACCTTGCCCACACATACTGCATGTACGATATAAGAGGTAGATGTGATTTCACTTACAAGACCCCTGTTGAGATCTCGAAAGAGGCTGCCTGGGCAGGGTGGGCCGGTATGTTCGGCAAGGATTCGACGTCGCCAGAAGTACGAAGGCTCTTTTGGGAAACCTCGACCGATGCGGACATCACTTGGCGAAAAGTCGTGGCAATGACGTCGAAATTAATCCCCGATGGAACCTTGAACGCTGCCTACGACGGGGGACACTTCATCTATCTCGCAGGACGTAGCCAGGTAAGGTAGCGTAGCCGTGGGGGCCGGTTATCTCCAAGCCGCGCCGGGTGGGTGTGATATGTCATGTTGTATCCATCTCACACGCGGGCCGGGGAGACATCTACAACGAGAGGAGGACTTCTTTCATCTGAGCTTCTGAAGATGTGGTAACCGGTAGGTGGTCCCCCCGACATCCCTTCCGCCCTGCCGCCAGCCGGTTCGCATCCATCCCGCATCTCTCCCGTGCTACCTCGACACCAAACAATCCTACACACAAAAACGAGGTTCCTGCCGACAGCCGAAGGGTAACACATGAACAAAACAGTCCAATCTCTAGCCTTTCGATAGCGTGGGAAAGCGTGGGAAACAAAAGACTAAAACTCAACGAAGCGCGGGTGATAGGGATAGGGAAACATCGAATGGTCCCCGAGATGAAGGGTGCGCTGGAGCAGAGTTCGGACGGGAAACTTGTGGGTATAGTAGGCAATTTAGTGGACGCCGAGAAGGGTGGCGACGGGTATCTGGAGTGGCGCTCCGCTAGTTTGCATTGAGACAGCACACACTCAGAGTACAGCGCATACATACAAAATGAGACAGCCTGCTTATTACTCTGCAGTCGGTGTGCATGCACAAGCGACCTCTACACTACAAATAATGTGGCTGCATCCAAGCCACGTGAGGCAATTGGACGAGTTTCATCGAGAATCTCATGGAGGGGTCTCATTTCTCGACGCCGCCTCAGAGGGCTGAGTTTAGGTTGTCCGAATGTGTGGCTGTCCGCCACTCCACGTCGCGATCCTCTGATGATGGTGTGTCGTCGTCGTAAAGAAGAATGGGGACTAGCTTAAAGAACGGGGTAGGACACCACCATCCTTGCTCTTCGCGATCCTTCAATGCTACGACATCTCCATTATGGACAGGCATTATTACAATATTAACTGGTGCCTGGAGTAGTGTGCATACAAAGCGGGGGCAACCAAGTCTTGGCTGACTCGAGATCTGGAATCTGACGATGGCTAGATCTTGAGAGGTGGCGGATCTCAATGGGACCGTGGGATCGAGCGATTGGAGATTTCCCGGCGGGCTTCTGGGGGCGTAGGGACCTCTGAAATTGAACTTCCGACTGAGGAGCCATGGGGAACCTCGAAATATGACAAAATTCTGCACACAGCTAACCTCTGATGCTGAAGCCTGGGATGCGCTCCAATGCTTTCCCGGTTGTAGATTAGAATGATATTGACAATCCATGGCGGCCCCATGCCGCCGCCTGTGTATTCTGAGCAGAGATATATGCCGTCCAGGCCAATATAAACAAGACAGATTTGTCTCTCACGGAGAACTCCTTTCAAACGCCCTCCACTGCTCGGCGTGCCTCCCGAGCTGGTATATATCGCCAATAAATCAACAAATCGCGTATCACGCCACGCTGTCCAGTCCTATATTCGCACGCACAAAAGACCTCCCCGAGCTCTAGCTAGGGAGGTTGTCGAGAGGCGGCATCGGTATCCCGCTCAACCCAGTCTCAATATCGTTCATAATCGTCTCGTCCGCCGCAATGCTGTTCATCACCTCGTCCTGCGTGAAACCCTGCCAGTACGTCGGGTTGATCTGCGACGCCTTCTTGGACCGGTAAATCTCCTGCGCGACGCCCTTGACCTGCCCGGAAGCGTTGCCTGCCGCCTTCCACACCGCCGAAAGCTTGTTGAGGGCGCCAATGTTGAGCCGAATCTGCTGTCGCAGGTCGTCGTCGTCGTGTGGGATGAAGAAGAGCGCCCACTTGCTCAAGTGGACGATCGAGGATAGCGTCACTACGCACGTGAAGAAGTGCGTGTGCGAGAGGAGAGGGACGCGGTGGGTGATCATTTTGCTGATCTCGGCAGCCGACGCAATCGTGTGATTTGTGTGCGAGTTGAACAAGTCTCCGGATGGAACCGGTCGGTGCGGTGCGCAAGATGTTACAGATCGTGTTGGCGAGGAGTCCAGTTGAGAGTGCGGTTGGTGAAGCATGATGGATGTCCTACATCAGGTTAATTCAACAATGCTCACATATCACAGGACGTCACATACGCGTTGGTCATCATGCTGGCCTGGAAAATCATCTCATCCGACTGCAGCTTCTGGTTCAGGGCGTCCCTCTTGGAAAGCGGCAAATGAAGCCTCCAGTTGGTCAGGAGGGCCTCGATGCGCCCGAGGTTCTCATCATCAGGGCCGTATATTGGCGGGACGCGCATGAACTTTCCAAGATTCCGGCCTGCGAGAATGCGGTACGCGAATGAGGAGAACTGCCTATCGTCGCCAGAAAAGTCTTGATCTTCCAGGTCCGTCAGGGTTAAGGGTGGCGGGATGCTCTGGTTCAAAATCTTAGCCTTTGGCCGCGACACAGGATAGTAAGCGACTCACCCCAGACAAATACTGGTGCTCCTCACACGGGAGGGCTGCATCGGCCGGGACATCAAACAGAAGAAAGTTGGTCTGCCGATGAACACCAGCCACCATGCCGTCTACAACGAACAAGTCCCACCACGTCCTCCGCCAGCTCTCCTCCAGCACGGGAATACCGCGCCCATACTGCGTCGCATACTCACGGGTATTCAGTCCAAGTTCGAGAGCGATACGCTCGGCGTCACCGAGCAAATTTCGAGCCTTTTCCTGCTCACAGCTGCCGTCGAGGCCTACGATTAGAAGGATCAGGGCTTGCACAAAGAAGCCGTCCCTCCGAGTTGTTGGATCTTGGACCAGACGCAATGCCTCATCCAGGAAGCCAGCCCGCGCAGGCCCCACATCGAGGAAGAGAGCTCCAACCCACCGAATGGCAGCCAGGAGAGGCTCCATGTTGGTGTCTCTCATAATACGGAGCAGCCATTCTTTAGGTAGGGCAAACGGGTGCGAGGCATAGAAATGGTGGTAAAAGGAGTCGAGACATCGCTCAGCCAAGGTAGGCACGGGGACTTGCGCAGGTACACCAGGCTGAGATTGGCCCAGGGCCAGCTGGGTCGAGTTGAAGCCGATGGCAGCACCGAAAGACCGATAGAGCTGCAGATTTGAAAAGTTGGGCGTCGCGGCAAAGGTGGTGCTGGGCGTGTCTGGGAGCACGACGCCCGGAGTATTAAATGCCATTCCGTTCTGCATCGTCGTGGGGACTGAAGTGCCGTTTGCGCCAAGTAGCATTGGACAGCTGTTGTCGCCGACGCCTACGGTGGAAGTGGGGGAAGAAGACCGCGCTCTCTTGTTCGGATTGGCGGTATTATTCCTCCTCGGGCCCTTGTAGCCGCGCCGCGAAGCGACGTAGACGCACTCGGACTGGGAGCCCAGGCATCGCGAGCACGGGTTCTGGCCGTCACACTTGAGATGCTTGCTGCGCTGTTACAGAATAAGATTGAGGTCAGTCTTGGTCTCACTAGGGGTACTCTCACGCCAAAGAGGGTGGTGCCCGTCTCGTCGTCGCCGTCGCCGCCGCAGCCAATGAGGAGTAGCGAGAGACGACGACGGGGACCCTGAGCTGACATGGAGGGGCGACTTACGCAGGCGAGACATGCAGCGGGGACCGCTACAACGGGAGGCTGTTGCCCTTGGGATCGGGATTCACTGGTCGCCGAGGAGGATGCGTTTGGCGAGTCGCGGTCGACTGGTGACTCGGAGTCGGGCACCATGGCCAGATGGTTCGGGGACCCGTTGCTGTGTGTGCTGTGCGTGCTCCCCGGGGCAGGTGGGACTTCGGGCGACAGCGAGGATTGCATGTCGAAGACTATTCTTCAGGTCTGTTGATTGCGGCCGATTGCCGTGGGCACACCGGGATTCGTTACTACTCGATTGTGAATTGTGTCGATGTTCCCTCTCCGTGTCTGTCTCAATCTTTGGCCTCTGGTAAGGCGCGGGAAGTAAATGGGTGGTTGCAGGAGGGAGAGAAAACGCTTGGTCGGCGACAAAGAAGGTGCCAGAGGGTGTATTAGTATCCCGTTGGTAGCGAGGACCAGGGAGAGCAGAATGTTTGTGACCTCTGGCCACCTCCAAACCATCGACCGGGAGGCAGCAAGAAAAGAGCTGCGGCGCACGGATCCGGTGGGTTGAACCTGTCAAGAGGTGCCTGAACGTCCTGGAGTCTGGACTGTCTGGGAGCCCTGGACCCCTCCACGCAAGTAGGGGGTTGAGGTAGCCAATTGAAAAGCCAATTGGACCAAATCTTGAGCTGCCCGCGGTGGCTGAGGCGTCGACTTGTGTGCTATGTGCCGTCTTTGTTAGTGTTGGATTGTCGTGGGACGGATGCGGGTAGGGATGAGGTCGTCGTTGGTGGCTTGCACCAAGGTTTCCTTTTGGTGGTGTTTGGTGGTTGGCTGGCTGATGTATCCGTAATGGAAGTGTAAGCCTCGCCTTCCAAGGCACTGGAAGTGTCAAATGTTTGTCAAGTGGAGACCAAATTCGGGACCGAAATCAATTCGGGGAAGCGGGCCCTGGCTTGAGGTCCTGTGGAGGAGAGACAAAAGGCAGGAGTCAAAGACGCAAGGTGCAGGTGCTGATCGTCGCTGCGTGTTTTGAGTGTAAGGTATCCCTTTGACGCAATAGAGGAGGCGAAGATTAATACCTGGCAAATCCAGAAACCATCACGGATTCCAAGGTGGTCCGGATCGAGAGTTTGACATCCACTTATACAAACCTGAGCAGCTGTGCGCTTTCTTCAATGGCCGGCAATGTCAATGGTGGGCGGTTGTCGGCCACCACGCCGCGACAGGTGGCAGCCACCTCAGTCCGTGCAGCTCTGACTTGTGCAGTGCGGATCTCGGCCTTCCTCACCAAGTGACTATCGGCCATCAACATCGGCTCAGCCCTACAGCCCATGGATCAGACGCCATGATCTCCCGGCTTGACCCGCATTATTGACCTTGCCTTGTAAGTTGTTGACTAGCATGTGCAGAAGCGGCAGCGTGAATGAAGTCAGACGTAAATTGCCTGATCACACGACGTGTCTCAATCTGCACCCATTGATGCCGTTAGGGATGCCTGGGGTCGGCAGTACACCGGGTTCTCGCCATCTTCTCTCTATCATCTCATAGTTGTATCGACCTAGATCGCCCGAGCACAACCAAGGGAGCATCGAGATCCGACCATTTCGTACACGGCGGTATACTTTCCAGCTTCCTGGTTGACGCATGACGAATCCTTTCCGGCCGGCCACTCAAATGTTCTCCGCTTCGAGATGAAATGCAAGGGCCGTTTCGGAGCCTTCTGAGATGTGCAACCTAACCCGGAACCCAATTTTCCCCCGCCGGACCGACAGCTTTACGGACACATACTTCCAATGGGGAAGATAGCTTGTGCGGGGGGTGGTGCCAGGATGCTCCCGGGTCTGCGATGCAATGGTGCACTTACCAACGGTGCAGAAGAAAAAGGGAAAACACGGGTGACGAGTTTCCTCGTTCTACCTCTTCAATGCTCTCTTATTTGCTCAACCTCAAGCGGGGCCTAGAGTCCGGTAGCGGCAATCGGTCGGCCCCGAGAAAGTGGGTCACAAACCCCGGCGGGCCGTCGGGTCTGGGTCAATTCATCACCCCATGCCAAGATGAATGGAGTCATATTACATTCGGCAGTCATGAGTCACGATAAATAAAAGGAGGCTTGATTTGGTCATTGACAGCGTGAAATTCAGCAGCTCAGGATCGTCGTAACTCAGCATACATACTAGGCTAAGAAGCCTTCTTGCCCACTATGATTGGCATCCCTGGACTGACGACAGTCCCTGGCGGCCGTGGAATCTTCGTCACGACTGCCCCGACATGAGAGTCTGGAACAATCACCTTGATTTCCATCTTCATCGCCTCCAAAATCGCCACCGCCTGCTTCGCCTCAAGCACGTCCCCGACTTCTACCAGAACTTTCCAAACGTTGGCGTTCATGGGCGACTCGATAGCCACAGCATCTGCTGATGCATCGTCCCCGCCCCCTTCACTTTGTTCCAACAGAGCCGCATCCTTGGCGGCAGTCCATTCACCAAAGAGCCGCTGTTCGAGCTCTCCCATTTCCTTGGCAGCGGCGTCCTGACGCTGCCGCCATTCTTGATGTGCGGGATCGCGGGCTGCAGTGTCAAACTTGGCAATATACTCGTCCATGCTGATGGTCTCATCGGAGATGTTGAACACATATCTACCGGCTTCAAAGTCTCGTTCTACTTGGTCAAATTCTTCCTTGGACACCTCGTGGAACCTAACGATATCGAAATTGTTGAACAACCAAGGTCGCGTCGGAGAAAAGCCGGCTCGAGTGCCCATCATATCCCACGTACCCAACGTGCGGCCCATGAGCTGGTAGCCGCCTGGTGAGGCCACGGGATAAACGACAAGCAGAGACCCACCGAGTGCGACTGAGCCGCTCGGAGTGTACGCGCGATTAGGGTTGTATTTCTGCCCCGTGAATACGTACTTGGGGTCGAGCGGAAACATGACAGGGGTTCCGAGGAAGAAGCCGACTGCAACTGTGAGCCAGGGTGTCTTGAGCAGTGAGTCAAATACGTCGCGACGAGTCTCCAATGCGTTGTTCTTCCGCAAATACTCGACGTTGTCTGGTAGGTAGGCAGCAGTTGGCCGAACGCTCTCCATGTATCTTTCTGTCGCTTCTGTGATGGTGGGGTGGTCAACATAAAGCGGCAGGTTGACTTCGCGAACGGGCACCTTGATGCCAACAATCTCTTCGATACTCTCGTCTTGCTCAACCAAGCTTTGTAGCAGCTCGGATTGAGATATCTGTAGCGGGTCGTAGTGCACTGTGAGGGTAGCGAGGTTCGGCTCACAACGCACGCTCGCAAGGTTGCGCGCCGCAAGCTTTTCCTCGAGAATATGGACGCAGACCGTGTTGCGCAGATCCGCAACTTGTTCACCATATTCTACTATGATGGAAGTGTCGCCACCTTGCCTGTAAGTGACGCGAGGATGATCTCCTTTCGATTCGGCCAGGTGCAATATTGAGCTTGTGGTCCGTGAGCCGAACTCCAACTTGAGCGGCACGATTTCGGCGTCATTACCGGCCACCAGAGCACCCAAAGACCTCAAGTAGGCCTCGTTTGTGTGTTTAATCTTCATGGCATCCTCAAAGGAAACCAGCCGCAACTGAACGCTGTCGCCCGACTTCAGTTGACCAACTTTCCACATCTCGGCTGAGCAGATGGTGACCGCGCAAGCAAACCCGCCGAGGTCCGGGCGGTCGCGGGAAAAGATGATGGGAAACTCCCCGGTCCAGTTGACACCGCCGTTGGGATACCCGTAGTCGAAGACGTTTGATGGATGAGATCCGCCTCCCCCGCCGGTGGTGCGTGCCCACTTTAGTCGTGGACCCTCTAGTCGAATGCCACTGCGACTACTATTGTGGCTGACGGTCCACTCAGAGTTGGTGATTGTTGCCATGCCCTCGGGGGTCAGTATGTCTTCCGAGCCATACGGACCATTAAGGCAGAATATCTCCGAGTGCCCATAGTCAGGGATTGCCTTTTGTGGTAAAGAAAAGGGTGTGGCTGCCGCTGCCCAGCTTGCTGTCCCAGGGGCAAGGGCGAGAATATCGTTGATCTGCAACTTACGGCCCTGAAGACCGCCGAACGCGAGCTCTGGCGCCGTTGACTTGGAACCGAGATAAAGAGGTATGTCTGGGAAGCCTCCTTTAACTGCGAGGTAGGTCCGAAGGCCGTCACCTGTGACGTTGCCAATTTTGAGCGTCTGCCCCTGTTGCACGAGGATTCGGGACCACATCGGCTGGCGCTTGCCGTCAACACTGACGGGAACTTGGGCGCCACACACGGCCACCACGGCCGATTCATGGAACAGGAGTTCCGGACCAGACATTGCTATTTCGAGGACCTCGACTTGAGCGTCATTGCCAACGAGAATATTTGCTGCCCGACTACTCAAATCATCCATCGGTCCGCCGGGAGGCACGCCGTGTCCGATCGTTGGTCTCCCAGGGTAATCCTGAACCGTAGTGAAGACACCAGGGTTGAGTACTTGTAAGGCGCATACCTTTGCCTTGAAAGTGGGTAGGAAAGAGGTGAGCGTATCGCCCTTGGTGAACTCGTCAGAATGTAGTACCTGTGAGAGGTACTGCAAGTTCGTCTGTGTACCTTGCAAAACAGTTTGATCCAGAGCGGTTAGCATCTTCTCCTGCGCCTCAGCTCGACCGTCATTGCTGTGTACCATGACTTTTGCGACCAAAGGGTCGTAGAGGGGTGTGATTTGCTGGCCGCTCTTCACCCATGTGTCCACCCGGATACCATCGCCCTTGGGCCAGCTGACATGCTGTAGAAGGCCCGGGCTAGGAGCAAAGTTGAGCAGGGGTACTTCAGCATATACTCGGACCTCGATGGCCGCACCGTTCGGCTGTGCTTGTGGGAGACTTCGTAGCTCGTCCGTGGGAATGCCGAGCTGACCGGCGTGCTCGTAGTCGGCTTGCTGCAGCATCAAGTGAACCAGATCAACCCCATAGCACATTTCTGTGATGCCGTGTTCGACCTGGAGACGCGTGTTCATCTCGAGGAAAAAGAAATCGGCCGTTTCATCGTCGACCAAGAATTCGACAGTGCCGGCACTCTTGTACTTGAGTTGTGAGGCGTAGTCGACTGCCGCCCGGAGCATCTTCTCACGGAGACCTGGCGTTCGCGCAACGAACGGACTAGGGCACTCTTCAACCACTTTCTGGTGACGTCGTTGGAGAGAACATTCCCTCTCCCCGAATGCAACCACTTGCTCGCCGTTTCCAAAGACTTGCACCTCGACGTGTCGGGATCGAGGATAATACTTCTCCAGAAAGACGCCGCTGTTCTTGAACAGAGCGCCCGCGCGACTCTCGACTGTGGCAAATGCTTTTGGGATATCATCGTCGTTGTGGCATATCTGCAGGCCCATACCGCCGCCTCCTCCGGTGGCTTTCAGCATGACCGGGAAACCAAGCTTTTTGGCCCCCTCTATGGCCTCCTGGGTCGATGGAATTAATGAAGTACCGGGGATGACGGGGACTTTTACGGCCTCAGCAATGGCTCTCGCTTCATGCTTCAGGCCCATGGCCTTGATGGAAGCGGATGAAGGGCCCATAAAGATCTTGCCTGCAGTCGTGACGGCGTCGGCAAAGTCGGCGTTCTCGCTAAGGAATCCATATCCGGGGAACACAGCATCGGCGCCGCTGCGTTTGCAGATTTCTAGAATGGCGTCTCTGATGTGGCTGTTAGAAGCATAATGACAACTATATCGGGGTCACCCACCCATCTGTATAAGTGTCGCTACCCCGCAGCGCGATCGCCTCGTCGGCCAGCAAGGCATGTAGTGATGTTGTGTCGGCGTCCGTATAGATGGCAATGCTGTGGACACCGAGCTCACGGCAAGCCTTGATGCAGCGAACAGCAATCTCGCCACGATTGGCCACCAGGACCTTCTTAATGCTGCGAAGTGGCCTGGAATGCATAGCTTCGTTGAGGTGTCAGCGACAATTTGGACGCGGTCAGAGGGCACATGGAGGGGTAGACCATACGAAGTTGGGTTCGTGGCCCCCAGTATATCAATCAGTCCATTCCGTTCGTCCGCATGTTAGTGATTCGAGGCAAGACGCGCCCACACCGGGCCGGTGGCTACCCTGAATGCCTTTCATGTCGTTACCCCAACAGCTATCCAGGAGAGGGGAACGCATCCAGTAGCATTGCCGGAGTACCGGGTTGAGATAAGGGATCATCGGCGAAGCGCATGAAGGTTTGTCGGGTGGAGGTCCCGGTAGGCTGTGGTAGGTTTCTGGTAAGATGATTGCCCTCTTTGCTCAGTTGACGTCGTTGGTCTGTACCTCAAAGGGTGTGGACGGCAGATGCAGTAGACCCCGCATCGTACCAATTGATGGGGTCACAATGGGCATCCATTACTATCAGGAACCCCTGTCGGCGGAGTTCAGTGATAAGGACCACCTGATCCAGCATACCCCAAGACGTCCCTTTGGAGTAATGGACCCCAAACGTCTACCCCAACGGTAGAGTACCATCCATCTCTCATTTCGACTGTAGAAGCGTTCTTATTAGACGACATTGAGGCAGCAAAGACAAGATGCCTCCTTTACGCTTACTCCATCGTCTCCCGTTACGTCATACGGTTTCCCGAAGGTCAAACCTCCCTGGACATCGCCCGTTATCCCAACACTTCAGAATGGCCTCAGGACTGGCGCGCAAATACGAGATCAACGCCGACATGGGCGAAGGCTTCGGCCGCTGGAAGATGGGCCCGGACGAGGAACTGATGCCTTACATCGACGCCGCCAATATTGCGTGCGGATACCATGCCGGCGACCCTTCCATCATGCTCAAGACAGTTCGCCTGTGCAAGAAGCATGGCGTCAAGGCCGGAGCGCACCCGGGATTGCAAGACATGTTTGGCTTCGGTCGCAGAAAGATCGAGATCGACCCCAAAGACATGTACGCCATGGTGCTATACCAGGTCGGCGCCCTCAAAGCCATACTCAATTCGGAGGGCGTCGAGTTATCCCATATCAAGCCTCACGGGGAGCTCTTCTTCTATATGCAAAGAGACGAGACCATCATGAGAGCTGTTTTGGAAGCTTGCGCCACGTTTGGGGACAACATCCCAGTCTACGCATCGCAAAACGCTACACAAGAAGCCATGTGCAAGGAGCTGGGCATCCCGTTCCAAGGGGAGGTCTACGTCGACATTGATTACTCTCCAGAAGGGAAGCTCATACCAGTGGCGCAGTCCAAGGTGGCTACACCAGAATTGTGCTACGAGAGGGCCTTGTCTGCATCATTGAAGGACGAGGGCAAGGATAACAGCGGCGGGACCTTTAGCTTTGGGTTTGAGGGAAAGCCATTCAGCATCTGCGTGCACTCCGATCATCCGACGGTGCTTCAGAATGTTACGGGTGTACGCAAGGCAGTCGACGAGGCGAATAAGCAGAGGTTCCCTGATGCTGCATAGTAGTTGTTTGCCGATACGAGTGTAATAAATACAGCCGCTGACTTGCATGGCTACGTTGCGAGGGCGACGTCCCATCGTCAGGGAGGCCAGAGTGCCGTTTATGCGAGGGTGATGAATCTAGCTCGTGTGAATGTTATTGTAGTGTAGTGTAGGGTCCGTCTTGAGATACCTAGTCAATATCAACATGCCAGCCATCTGATTCAAAAGCTTTGGGTTTGAAGGTGCTGCGAAATTGTGAAGAAATTGTTTCCCAGAGAAGGTGAATCATGATCTTTCCGGAAGTCAAGCCAAGGGCCCAAGCCCGATGTGGTGGCCAGAGAAAATAATCCTCCAGGCAAGCGCAGTAAGGCAATGGATAGGTACGGGAAGGAACCTGCCTAAGGTAGTCACTCTGATTAGATGTGCCTGCCTGACCGCCTGGAATCGCGTACAAAATTCGGAAAGACAGGCCGACTCGGCCCACGCTCCTGCTTCTCCTACGGTATTCATCCGCCTTCCCTCAGAATATTTCACACAACCTCACATCTCCTCACTTCTGCAACAGCACACCAGCACACCAGCACACCAGCACACCAGCACACGCATCCACACATCCTCTCAGAAGAAGTCATGGACTCCCAAGGCAGCCAATCGACGAAGAAGCGGAGACTGGATGATGGAAACGAAGCTAGTCAAGCCGGAAAAGATGGCGGCAGTTCACTCGGCTTGTCTCGGGGTGGTTTCCGCCCTCGGACCATCGAGTTCGACCATGAAGCCTCCTGCAGTGAGTCCGTATCTCACTTCACACTCGAGATCTGGGCGACGGATGCAGAAGGTGTTGAGCATAAAATTGGGAATATTCGGGACGGCAGGAAGTACACTGGAGCCGAGAAAGTCAAGGTCATCGCAAAGGACGGCGACACCCCGCAGTTGGCGGACCCCAGTTATTTGCAAGTATTCGAACGCCAGGAGGAGGAGAAGGCTCGCCAAGAGGAGAAGAAGGCTCTTCGAGAGAAAACACTTGCCCTTGAGGCTCTTCAAGCGAGAAGAAGGGCCCTGCAAGAGAGTGAGAGAGCCCTCCAGTATGAGGAAGATGCTCTCCAGGAGAAGATCAAGTTTCTCCAAGAGAAGCAGACTGTTCGGGGGGGAAGAAGACTCTTTAGGCGAGGTAACCACCTCGAACACCTGGAATAGGAAGAGCAATCTTGCTAGGTGCGGAAGACTCACTCGCATGCGGAATAGAACAGCCACAGAGCCATGTCGAGTCTGAGCCCTGGGTGGTCATGATGATCAGCGATGCGGATGCCAAGGTTTGGCACTCTCATACACCAACTCCTGCTCCAGGAGTTTGGTAATATCCTGCTGAGGAGGAATTCAGATTTGTTGAGGAAACGGCGACATCAAGAGTGGTTAGAGTGTTGAACAACACCCGTTCTTCAGATCTGCTTAGGCCCTATTTCATAAAAACAATGTTCCCTTCCAATTTTCTTACAGACATTTCGTGAATTGTCCCAGGCCGACTCCTGTAAGTACGTGACATGTTTACAACCATGTGTGAGTATCGTAGTCATACAACGACATCAAGTGTGTGCAGACGCAACGCTATACTTCTCACCCAAGATCGTTTCAAGTGCAGCCTTATTTTTATCTACCAATGTCCGTATGGGTGATGTGAGAGCCCATAACTGTAGGGAAATCAGGCCCATCTATTAAGATCCACCACATTATAAGGTGACGGGACTGTGATACGGGGTTAACACGAGTGAACTCCTCCTGCTATCACTGGAATTGAGAACAATTATTTCAAATGCAATGCGATTTTACAGAATCATCTATGGCGTGATGTGACGAGACTGAGCATGTCTTGATGCTGACAAGGTCCAAGTACTCCGTAGTGCACAGAGCCGTTGGAAAATAAGCTCAAGAGGAACGGGCCGATCCGATGAACATGCAGTCAGTGCAGACCGCTGTCAACATTGCGCTGACCTGCATCCCTCCCAAAAGCTAATTACTTAGCGGTGCATGTCTATTTACATGCAACGTACACTTTCCGTCAACTCAAGTACTGGCCGGTACATTATAGACACGTCTGCCACCTTGGAGAGCCGATGATGAAAGGAGCTAAGGAATCGATTGAGTAGTCTTCCTTTGTCCAGCCCAGAGCAGGGAGCCCAGGCCCTCATGTCCTTCCATCGACTGAGACACCCAAAGAGAAGGTACTCACCTCCAGGGACCGGTTTAGGTGCTCAGCTTTCCGTCGAGTTCTTTCCGAAAAAGGCAAGTATCTGTGATACTGGGTGGACCATTGCGCTTCCTCCCGTTAGGCACCTTGCTCCAAATCCCTGGCTTACCATATCACTCCATTAACGTGCCTCAATTAGTACATCCCACAATACCAGAACGCCAGACCATCAGACTATCGAAACACGACGAAAACATGGCGACGCCGAGCCTTGAAATACCGGCGGAATGGAAGAATGAGATCGACAAGCTCTCGAGATGGTATGGGAGCGATGAAAGATATTCGGTCGCTCACGTGCAGTCACCTCCCTCAACCGACGACGGTAGTTGGGTGGCCTTGGTCTTGCATATCATAGGCATGAGGGCGAGCGGAGATAATGGTATCTTGTCCAGGTACCTCGTCGGTTCGCTCCAAAAGGAAGAGGTGTCAAAACGCGAATGGGACAGCGCTGGATATTTCGTGGGAATAAGACCCGCGGTGGCAAGATACGGTGGTATCGGATTGGCCTCGAACTTTGATCTCAGATACAAACTGATCATCATTGATGCCGATCACTCCAAGAGTGTCGACTATGCCGTCTCGCTGGTCAAGTTGTCCCTCCTCGCGAAGACCGAAGAGACGACTATTTTGCGCTTCGTCTGGTTGTCATCTGCCCCCCTTAACAAAGATTTAGGCAGGATGCTCGCCGTTGCAACCAACAGCTCAGAGACTCCCGTCACAGCTTTTCGATTGAAACAGCGGACCAATTCGCCAAATTTGTCAAATTTGAGATGGATTCAATACAAAGCAAGCGACGGGGAGTACCCGGACGCTGTGATGGAAGCTATTGCTCCAGAGTATGCGATGGTTCAGGAACACAAGACAACAAGAACGATAGCCTTCTGGGACGGAGACTCCGAGTGGAAGCGGCATCATCTGAGACGAACGCTCCTAGCGGCCGCTCGGAAGCACTTCGCTAACGAGAAGGATACCAGATCAATCTATATCACCCCCGGTTTGATGGGAAGATCGTTGAACGATGCCAAGAACGCGTACCATTTGGTTCTTCTCAATAGCGAGATAAAGGAGGTATTCGACACAAAGACGTCGCATGTGGTTCGGAAGAGGGTGGCGATGTCGAGGGCTCAGATGCTGACTCAAATAACTTGCGCCTTGGATAAGGATGTTGAGCAGGCGGATAGAACCATCCATGCCCAAGTGGCACTGCAGGACATCCTCGATGCGGAACCTAAAAGGGAATTCGAAGATATTCACCTTCCGGTATTCATCATCTATGTGATGAACGAATGTCCCAACATTGACATCGACCGTCTTCGTGTTTGCTTCGTTTCCAAGGAGCCGGCATTCGCTGAGGCTATCCGTCGGCTTTATGTGTTGGGGCTCATCTACTACGGCATGGATGGAATCAGTGTACATCTCAACATTTCCCAGGCCCGGAAGACTCTTGACTTCTTATCAATCACGGGAAACGACTTGTCAGTAGCCTGCTTTCTGAGCTGCATAACAGAGGACACGCCCGCCACGGCGCGGTCCGCGATAATCGACATTGCGGCTATTGTGCTCACGTGCCACGCTTTGAATCCTTTCTTCATCATTTCACCCGATCACTTTGCCGACGAAGATTCCATCAACGGGCTATTGCAGCGGCATTGCATAGACGTGCCAAGCGATGTTATCAAGAGTGGCGCCATGTGGTTGGCTTTGGCTATCTTTCGCCAATACGAAGAGGAGTGGCATACTGACATGGGTTTTATCAAATTCGAGGATGGGACGCTTACTCTTTCGTCCAATACATGCCGCAAAATCGGTCACCGTGCAAGAACGATCGGGAATCGTGTTAACAACTTGATCCCGGAGGCTCAGGACAACGCATCAGAAGCGACGCTCGGAATTTCTCATGAAGACGTGAGAGAAATTCAAAGGTGCATGGTTCGTGCTTGGGCACACAACGTCCTTCTCCCCGACGGCAGAGGTGGCCTGGACAGCATCTTTTCTGGGACCTCAATCAAGCTAGTTCCCGACCAATGTTTGCGACTTCCTCAGGACGCGCCACTACACGTACTCAGCTTTGGATTCGCTTTGTTTGAAACGGAGTACTATGCTTGGCTTCCGACGGTCATACCGGAACAGGTCCTGTTCGATACCTTTGGCGAAATGGGCTGTGATATGACGGACTTTGCTACGGTCTATTTTGGGGAGTATGTTTGGGAGAACGATGAGGATAATTCGGAAGGCTCGCTGGAGGACGAAGCGGATCAAAGCAACGAAGCATAGGGGGGTGGTCAAGAAGTTTCCGGAACGGCATATCCTCTTGTGTCGGTCGCTTACGTAGATCCTGCGCATGTCTCGCAGTAAGACGAGAGAGTTTGGAGCATCAATTCTAGTTTAATAGACTCTTTCATACCCAAAGCTGCTCAAGTGAAGTATGTTATGATCCCTCTCGGGCCACTGCGTAACATGTCAGTCGTAGATGAATAGATCTGGAAATCTAACAAGGCGGCAAGTAGTCGTGAAAGAACCTTCAACTCGTCGAAGATCAGGTGATTCGGGCACGTTGTCAGCTCAAATGGTAACCACTCGGCTTTAGTAACGTTTTTATCTTATGTACGTCTTTCAGAGAAGAGAGTTGGGAGGAGTTCCCAAGAATCAATTTGTGCTGTGTGTATCTACCTAGGATCCTTAAGAACGAAATACAAGCCTTGCGACATGCCCGAATGCAACCAAACCTCTGAAACCTCTTCCTTCGTTCAAACGTTTGCCTTGTCTTTCTTGCCACACTCTCCCACATCTCTCCGGTGAAATCTCCTACTTTCCTTATCTCTCAGGACATATCCGTCTCGTTGTTGTCTCCATATTGTCGGCAAACTTTTGTTGTCTTGCACTTAATTTGAGCCTTGCGTTTTGGTTTTCTTTCAAGGGTGGGATCTCACCTATTTAGACTTCCCAGGCGCGGTCTTGGTAGCCTTCTTAAGTCTCTCCAGGGCCATAGCAGCTTTATAGCGGCAACAGTTCTTCTTGTGATTCTCGATGTCGATCCCATTCTTCATGACGATGTTGCAGTGCTCAACAACGTCCCCGCTACCGCTACCATGCTTTTGCATGTGCGTCCGATGGGTATCGATGTCTAACTTTTGATCCCAATAGCAGCCGGGTTGGTAGCAACACTCAATCGAAGGTTGCTGGGTGGTAGACATCTTCGCTTCGAGGCGCCAAGGAATTTGGTGTTGAGAGAAGAGGGCCTCAACAGTGCGCACTCAGGGGTCGGGAGATAAAAGTTCGATAGCAGCCAAAAAACGCATGAAGAGATGGCGAGAGGGATATTTTACTCCTATTTATACTTATACTTGGCCATCTTAGACACCGCTCTTTCTCCTTTCCAAAGACTATTCCGACAATTTGAGAGGGCTGTGGGCGACGAGATAGTCAATCAGCCACGTGATATCGCTCCATGAGCGCGTTATCTACCCATGAACGCTACCACCTCTACCGACGCGGTTGCCTCACGCGTTCTGAAGGATGATATTGCATTACGCAGTGTCATGGGTCGGATATACAGGAGTTACATGAGACCAAGTGGCTGTACTTGGCTGACCAGGGCATCCAGGGATTGGCGAATGGCCGAAGGCGGACTGGGAGTTGATATGCCGGCAACCATCCCCGGGGGGCAAATTTGCTCCCTTGAGCAAGATAAACGTCTGCACGTAGCCAGGGATTTCAATGAGAATGCAACCTGGGGGCTGAATTGATGGGCCGTTCTTTGAGAGCTGATCATCCCCGACGGCTTTCTGCGGCGGTTCCTTCAGAATTTTGTAGCTTTTATCGCTTGCATTGTATTCGGGCTCTGAGAATGCGATCCGGAGCATGCGGTGCTCAGCGAGCCTGACCTATAGTGAGCAATTGCCTCCGTCCACGGACAGCAATGGGTGACATTGGGGTCAAAATACTACCAGCTCTGGCCGGAATAGCTTCATGTCAACTAGTAAAGCACGCGAGATTGAAGGTGAATCTTTCGGTAATCAATCTGCTGTAATCTGAACCCTAACGACCGATGAAGCTATTTACTGCACATATTCCCACTGCGGTGTGAGAGCGGCCGCATTTTCGGCCCCCCAA